CAAAAAGCGAGAAGAAACTCTCGAAAGAAAAAGAATCAAAAGACCAATTCTGCTGAGAAACGCGAGTCAGCAACGTACGAGACAGGGATCGGCTGGCAACAGAGCGACAAAGAGAAAGCCGCCATCACGAATGCAACCATGAACGATCTAAAGGCATGTCTGACAAAGGAGGAGTTTAGTGATTATACCGATGATCTCCCAAAATCCAACGAAGGGAACAGCCAGGAAGTCTCCGAGTTACCTGTAATCCAACAACGTTCACGTTTTTCTTCATTTGGCCCTCGACATAGAAACAACAGGTCTAGACCGGAAATCGGATATTCTGCAGATTTCATGCATTCCACCAAATGCTGAAACCAAATCATTTTCGGTAAACCTTTTTCCAGAAAATCGAATTATTGGCCAGTCAGCGACGCAAGTCCACGGTATAAGTGTAGAGTTTTGTAAGGGCAGAAAAACATTATTGAGAAGAGGGAAAGAACTGGAGGCCGTATCGCAAACTCAGGGTCTCAGTGATTTTTGCAGTTTCCTAAAACAGCAGTCCCGTTCCTTCCAAGTTGTCCTTATTGCACACAATGGTGAAAAGTTTGACTTCCCAGTTCTGATCAATGCTCTGAGAAGGAACAATCTCCTTGAATTGTTCCTGGCTACTGGTGTTGTCCTTGTGGACTCTCTAAAGATTGTTTCGACAGAAATGAAGCAGAAAGGTAGCCCTTTGTATTCCTGCAAGAGCAAATCTTTGTCCGACGTTTACGAAGTTTTACTGAAAGAAAAGTTTGATGCACATGATGCACAAGAAGATGCTACCGCCTTGTCGCGTATTTTATTTCAGTCCCCTCTGCAAGTATCTGTTGAAAGAATTCAGACGCACGCAGTTCCTGCAGAACTGTTCGTAAAAAAATGAACTCAGCACAAGAGGCAAAATCCCGAAAGTCCACGCTGCATCGCCTCCCGGTCTCCGAAGGAATGAAGGAGAAAATGGGAAAGGCCGGGCTTGACTACGAAACAATGCAGGGTGTTTACAAGAAAGGTGGAACGAAAGCTCTGTTAGCGGTGCTAGCTCTTCCAGAGTCCTTTGAGCAAATTCAAGAAAAGCGGAGTAAGCCAAGGGTGACGAAAAACCTAAACATACTCACAGCAGTGGTTAACTATTTTGTACGAATGCAATCTTAGATTAAGGTTTTCATTGATGAATGATATCGATGTTTTCATTTACCGGCGGGAATGTCTTGGTGATTATGATTTAAAAGCAAGAAAAAGAAAGCTCGTCAAAGTTTGTTACAGACAACTTACAGGATAATACTGTCGCAAATGCCGAACCAAACCCCCTTGTTGTATATTTTTTATTTTGCTAAGATTATGTTGGCTATTAGTAATTTTTTTTCTAAGGAGACATTAGATAATTATAGTTTTGTTTAGAGATGTAATATCTCAGTGGTGAATGTTATTATCATTGGTTGGCAGCAATGCCTCTCCTTGCAGTTTCAGGTGATCGATGTAAAAATTAGAAAAAAAGAAAGAATATCAGAGTTTGTTCAGAAAATTGTTTATTGACTTTTATCTTCCCGATTCACGTTTGTTAAAGTTATAATATTTATTTAAGAATAATCGCTTATATAAATACATATATGATTCTGTATATTATAATTGTTAAACAATAATACTTGGTAATTAAATGAACATTTCAGATAAGACATGTAATACAAATTTAAATAAAAGGAAACGCGACTATGCCACGGTGAGAAAATAAATAAACAAAATATATGGCTTTTTTTCCTCGTCTGTCCTCGTCTGTGAATGATTTTCTAGCTCCGAGACAACTGTTAATTGTTTTCACGAGCTCCGTGGAGCTTTCTTTGCGAGTGCTCGGTCAGTTGGTTTTTCTGCAGAGCAACAGTTTTCCGTTTCCTCGTCAGAGATACCCTCGGCATTGCTGCATTACAGCATAATTGCGTGACAAATGCCTTTAAAAATCAGCTCATTAAAATTTCAGTTTATATTAACATGTTTCGGAAAAAATCTCCGAATGCAGTCGAACTTTCTAATTGATGCAAATTCATTTTTTGCTGAAGTTGTGCACGCGGATATGAGAATTTAAAACAATGCCTGTGAATAATGAGGTCGCTCACTTGTAAACACGATATGGGGGATAACAAATTAGTACTTTTGAGGCCCAATTTTATTAACTTCCACATTTTCAATAACCTTGAAAACTGCAGGCCGTATACAATGAAAATACAACTTAGCACTGACGATTTTAAAAAAAAATCTATCGAGCAGTTTTAAAATATTACAATATTTGTTGGCATAGACCAAATTATACGCAAAAATGACAACAAGAGCATCTGAATGCAAAGGCATCAAACCCTTTTTTCTCACAATCGGTAAGAGCAATCTCGCCAACTTTTTACATACAATTTGAAGTGGAATAAAGCAACTACGTGGTATAGCGGCATTCCCAAGGCGCATCGTTTTCTTTAGATATCACCAAATTATCTCGACAACAATGTTTTTACTGTATTTTTAACCCTCAAAACTTCATCCTCAAAATTTTCAAAAATGCTCTCATTGAATTTGTTCAAACTTGGCCAACATCTAGGCAATAACAAGAGATAAAAGCTCCAGTGAGCGATTTACGAAAAAACCTCATGGTACTGAGAAATACGAACGAAAGCAAAAAACTGTCATGACGTCATTACGTTGCTATGGAAACTCCGATGTCAACATAACACCAATCACAACAAACTTTCATCTTTTTGTAATACAGCTGTGGTAATTGTTTTACCATAACGTTGCTCGTGGCGTCGTAGTTAATTTTCAAACTTGAGCAGTATGACTTTTGAAAAATCCAGTCGAGCCACCTTAAACAACTTGCATCCACAGACAATGAAAAGCATATTACTTATTCCAGACTATGAAAGCAGCGATCACTGTGACTTAGATGCAGATGAAAAATGATCATCAATTGAAAATATCAAACGATGGGCGATGGGATGCAAAAGACAAAACGGATCAATATCAGTATCTGAGCAACTGCCCACCTACCCCTCCCCTAACTCAACAACAGTCTACTGATAACAATTTTTCTGTCAATCAAATAGATAAAAACATTGATGAAAATCGATTAACCCTTTAACTCCCATGTGTGACCAAGACAGAATTTCTCCTTGCAATATTAATACAATATGAACCAGACAAGAGATATGAATAAAGAAAAATATCAATTTGGGGATAATTAGTTGATCCAATACTAAGTTCTCTGAACTAATATTATAAGAGTTGTATGATTGACAGGAAGGAGAATTATAAATTTGATCTGGGAGTTAAAGGGTTACTTGAGATCAAATCCTTATATCGACTTAATCATGTTAAAAATTTGGCTATACTGCGGAGCACACAAACATTTTTAACAATTGAATTTATTATCAGCATGTAATGTTGTATCAGGCAAAAAAGTAGGTTGTGTGACACTCAACCCATTGGTATTAGGGACTATATCAGGAACAGGCTTATTGCTAAAAAGTACAAAGCAAAAAATCGAGCCATCACTGCGTTTGTCGTTTAGAAAAAATACTAGTTGATTTGCGATCCTTTGTGAGAGGCAAACCATACGATGATCAAAATTATTTGACTCAGCTAAGGGTACTTGAAGATATCGTCATCGATATGATACTTTCTAGGCATAGGATAAAACATCGGAACCTTGGACTATTGGACAATTTTTTTTGTCAATTCTTTTTTTACTTTTCTTTGGACAATGTTTTTGGACCACTTTTTGGTCCTTTTTTTGACCACTTTTTGGTTCTTTTTTTGGACCACTTTTTGGTCCTTTTTTTGGACCACTTTTTGGACCTTTTTTTGGACCATTTTTGGGAGAGTTAGACCATTAGTACTTTGGGAGGGGTGGGATGCAGTCTATCAGAAATCAGGGAGGCAAATTGTTATTACTGAGGGAGGGCAGGAACTACTGGTACGCAGGGAGCGTGTGAGGTGGTTGTATCAATAAATGCTACTGACTAATGGAGTTTTAATGGATCATTCAAATTAGTTTGAGCGGTTTTCGATGGATTATTGTTATGTCGAAATTTTTGCGCTGAGTCGCAATGTTTCTTTATTTTGTGCCATGGGAATGCGAAACTGGCACCTAAACAATTGACTTAAATTGCTATTGAAAATATCACCAATTCCCGTTTTCGATCCTCCACTGATGGGTTACGCGTGTGCCTTTTAAGTGGACTTGTGCTAGTGCTTAATGATACCCACTGGTTAGCATGAATCATCCACCAGTTGTTTTACGTTTCCCTTTGTGAATACAGTATATTATTTCTTAATTTATCTACCTTCCTTTTTTCATTGATTTTAGCACACGACAGAGGTCATGGATTTTCGTTCTTAAGCATAGCATTCACAAGCGTTACCGCAGTATTAATGGTCTACCTCCCCCCATAAAATGGTCTAAAATGGTCCAAAAATTAATTTTAAAAAAAGGTCCAAAAAATGGTCCAAAAATAGTCCCCCAAAAGTGTTCATTAGTCCAAGTGTCCCGTAGTCCGGGCCATATTTTACTCTATGGCTATTTTCTATGACAAACGGACTTTCGGATTATCTTACGTCTATTATCATAAAAATCAACAAATTCATTAACGGGGTCTTATTATATACTCAACAAAATATCGCGTTTCTGATTAGTCAATGATGAATGCATAAATAGGTTATAGAGTGCAATAGAGGTTATAGAGTGCAATACGGAGAAGTTGCCATGGAAACACCGGGAAAGCGCCAAATTTGAACACCAAATTATAAAAAAATGGCTGACAGCCGGTTTGCTTTGTCAAACCAAAACATCGTTGAGCAACTTAAAGAAAATGCGAAAAACAAAAACACGTTGAAAGCTACACAGACCTGGTTAAATGTCTGGCAAACATGGGCGACTCAACGAAAAGTAAACCCAAAAATGGAAGAATACGAGCACGAACAACTCGATAAACAGCATCGACAATATGATGAAGAGCGTCGTCAAGAACACAGCTCTGGAAACAAGCAAGAAGAAATTGACTAACCACACCGCAAGGAAGACAGTTGTGAAGAAACTCAGAGCAGCAAGCGTCGAGAGGCAGTCGATAATCCAGGTGACCGGCCACGCAAGTGAAAAGTCTCTTAACGACTACGATGAAGGTAGCGAGAAGGAACAGCGACAGCTTTCAAACATTATCAGCAATGCTCCACAGTCAGCAGCCTCCAGCAGTTTTCCTGGTCTACCAATGTGGTCTTCTCCTACAACGACTTCAACGTGTGAACAGGTGAAAACAAGCGGCCATGCTTTCACTGTGAACAACTTTCACAACTGTCAAGTCACATTTAACGTGATTCAGGGGCAATGCAGTTCACCAAAGTCTACAAGTCAGAATGTTATTCCCTGAGGCCGATTGAGATCAAACATTTGAAAACAGTTTAGCGGGCTTAAGTACTCTTGCCGCTTTTAATAACTGAAATTTAGCTTTTGAGTTCGGCTTGTAATATTTTCTGAGAAACTTTCAAGAACTTCACGCTTGATTTACCTCTCACAACATTACATTTTTGATTGGTTCAAATAAAACATGTGAGCATTTTGGAACCCATTGAAGTGTTTTTTGTAGTACGTAAGGCGTGCAGAGTAGCGCGATGGAGTAATTTTGTCCAGAATATAATAAATAAAAAATCGTATGAACCTGCTCGTGCATTTCGTGATTTATGGTCACTCGTGATGTTTTGAAAGTTCTCAAATTGCACTCGCCTGCGGCTCGTGCAATTTTGAGAACTTTCAAAACATCACTCGTGCCCATAAATCACGAAATGCACTCGCGTTCATACGATTTCCTATACTTATCCATCAACTTGACCTTAATAGACACAAACATATTAACAATTAACGTTTTCAAGTTTCATATTCCTACAACATTTTTCACTTTCACAGTATGTTTTTGAATTTGTTCATACGAAACTGACATCTAATTTTCTCTAATGCGTCATGAATTTCAGAATTACAATTCATTATTCTACGACATAATTTGATATTTTTTTAGATCCAAAAACATACCGACAAATTTCACTGACAAGCGTAATCGACAAACTTTATTGACAAACTTTACTGACAACTTTTACGGGTAATCCTAAGAACGGTAGCAAAGTGATCATTCATTTCCTCTGGAAGTCCCTTATGTATTACATCATTTAACTTTACATGATTAAATTATGGATGCATGAATACCCCCGTGCATCAGATTATTTTTATAATTTATTTCAATAAAATTATTTCCTTCTTTTATATCCTTAAATTTAGTTCCTTAAAATGATTTCCATTGACTATTTCCGTAAAATGGAAAGTAGTATAGTTGAGATGGCTTTCTGTGAGATTACTTTTTCAAAGTGGTCTCGTACAGCCATCTTCTTTACTGCTCTTCCGTAAGTGAAAGTATCGAATTTTTAAGACGAGATCACTGGGAAAAAGAAATAGAACGTAGACTACCATATGAAACCGGTTACGTGAAGTTAAAAGAATGACTACATAAGCAGCACAGACACATTCACATTCATTTGGATTTTCAGGATTTTATTGAAAACAATATTGTGGTAATCTGAAGCTGCAATTGCAAAATTAAAGAGTATTAAAAACGAATATTTTTCTAACCTAAAAAGCCAGATAAAGGGCAGCGAAATCAACAGTACTTAAATTTGTCCAGCCTTGTCAGGTACATAGATTTAAAGTCACCAACACAAACATATCCAATTGAAAAAAAGGCCCTTAAAAACACCCTAGTGAAGCATGTATTAAGGATACCGAAAAAAAAAACAACAACAAACGTGTTACATGCAGAAATCATGTGAGCTTAATGGTCCTAGATTAGAGACCAATCCCTTGCGATGTCGGTGACACAACATTTACCACAAGTCGTATTTCCTTCACAAGACGACTTCAGACCGTTGAAATAGATAACTTGAAACCAACTCAGTTTCGAAACTGACTGATATTCATTTTAGCTTCTTCACGATGTTTGCTCCAATAGTTGTTTGGTTGTTTTGTTTTGACCAACTCGCCGCCTTGAAGGAATTTAAGAGAGCTTTTCAAGCTGGTGATGTCATGCTTGGAGGACTCACAGTGTTACATTATAAGGATTCTAACGACAAATGCGGTTTAGACTTCTTTCCCGTTGGTTTCGGTCACGCTGAAGCAATGATCTTCACGATCGAACAGATCAACAATGACCCTTCATTGCTTCCGAATGTTACTCTCGGCTTCGACATCCGTGACTACTGCGAAACTGTGTCTGTTGCTGTTAAAGAAACATACGAGTTTGTGCGAGATGCAGATTTGTATCATATGTATACGAACAGAAATTTCAGCATGGATAACGAAACAACTTCTTGCTACAGCAAAGATGATGTTGCTCCTGTTTCTACAATAATTGGACCGTACGACTCAGCCAGCTCTGTTCAGATAGCGACTCTTCTCAGCATGGCCAAAATCCCGATAATAAGCTTTGCTGCAACGAGTGAAGAGCTTAGTTCCGATCAATATCCATACTTCTTAAGAACAGTTCCGCCTGACAGGCAACAAGCGAAAGTGCAAGCAGATCTATTTGAATACTTCAAATGGACATATATTGGTACAGTAGCTCTAGATGATTCTTACGGGCGGTTTGGCGTCTCTGCGTTACAGAAAGAGGCATATAATCGAGGAACCTTTTGCTTGGCCTTTTCAGAGTTTGTTCCGCGTCTTCGTGCTGCCACCGATATTAGACAGATTGTGTCACGTATTAAGCAGCAGAGAAATGTCAAAGTCATTGTGGTGTGGGTCTTTGGAGGATATGCGAAGCTGTTCTTTGAGGAAGTTCACAGGCAAAAGCTTGGGAAACGGACCTGGATTCTCGGTGATGGAACGAGTACAGAGGACAGCGGACTGCTTGGACCGTATTTTCGTCTACTGGACGGCGCCCTTGGTGTTCAGCCACGCGATCGCAAAGATAAAACTTTCCTGAACTACTTGTATTCTTTAACGCGGAGTAAAACTCGTTTAGGAAGGAATCCGTGGTGGGAAGAATACTGGAAAAAATTTCGGAATTGCACCCCAGACGCAGACAGCGCATCCGACCCACAGTGCTCTAATGTACCTTTGTCAGCAAATGAAGCTTCCAAACTGTTCGACCCTTACCTTGGCTACCTTATAGACGCCGTCTATGCCGTGGCATTTGCATTAGACAAGTATTTTAGTTGTAGCGCTTTAAACTGCGAACTTTCGGGGGAAGCATGCTCTGATAGAAAGCCATTAGCAACTGACGGAAAGGATCTGTTGTCCCTCTTAAAAAATGTCAGTTTCAAAGGACTCACTGGCGTCGTAGAATTTGACCGCGAAGGTGATCCCAAGAATTCTTTCTTTGAAATTGTGAACGTCCAAATAAATAGCACGGGAGCTTCAAAGAAGGCCTTGGTAGGATCCTGGAGTAGTAGTAAGAAACCAAGGTTGTCACTGAACGACTCCGCGATCAAATGGACAAACGCTTCTTTTGCTACAAAGGTACCGTCCTCATTCTGCAGTCAAGTGTGTCCCCCCGGAACTAGGCAGGAGGTAACCACTTCGTGTTGTTGGAAGTGCGTTACATGTCCGGGGGGCACAGTCAGCAAGTCACCTGGATCTACCAACTGCACGGAGTGCCCGCGTAAACAAAAGCCGAACGATGATAAAACCAAATGCGAAGATCTGCCAGTGAAAAACCTTCACTTCAGAGATGCAGCTGGTGTATTCCTTTCTTGCGTGACAGCGTTAGGATTTTGCATGACTGTGGCTATGTTACTTGTGTTTGTGAAATACCGCGAGACACCAATTGTGAAAGCCTCGAATAAACAGCTCAGTTTTCTCCTTCTTGCTACAATCTTCTCCAGTTTTACTCTGGCGCTGTTGAGCATTGCAGAACCAACTGATTCTATATGTCGCTTGATTCAGTTTTCTCGGTACGCAATCTACACCACTTTTGTATCCATATTGTGGCTGAGGTCAGTTCGCATTTTCGTCGTTTTCCAAGTCGACAGTTCAGAATTGCCCTTCCAAAGTTATATTTCAAGGGTGAAATACCAAGTCGGTTTGGTTGCTCTAGTGAACATTGTCGACATCGTGTTGTTAACCGCGTGGTTCGCTTCGGATCCGCCATTCAGAAACGAGAAGATACAACCGACCCAATTCATCTTCTTCACCTGTAAACTGTACGGGTCGTCGGTCGGAAAAGCGTTATATTTCATGGTCTTTTCGTATGTGTTGTTGCTTTCATTGCTTTCGTCTTTTTATGCATTCAAAGTTCGCAAAGTGCCAGATAACTTCAACGAGGCGCGCTTCATCGGCTTCTCGCTTTACATAATTTTGTTGTCTGCACTGTGTTATTACTCGGTGGATTTCTCAGTGCAGGATGCTTGGTATGTTTCTGTTATAGCCTGCAGCACGACACTAGTTGATTCGTTTGGCCTGCTTGGTTGCATGTTTATTCCTAAAGCTTTCATTATCTTGTTCCGTCCTGAAAAAAATAAGAAAGAGCTCATAGGGGCTCAGATCACTGCGTACGTTCGTAAGAACACGCAGTTAGCCAATGTGAATACGCGTGATAGCAGATCAGAGATCAACCATACCTGCCAAAGCAGCTTAAGTGTCGATGTTGGGTCGAAGAACTAGACAAAAGATGAACGTAACAAGATTGATAGCTCCATTAAGGAAATTCTACTCTAAATTCTCAGAACTAATTTGAGTGTAAACTTCTCTTTAGATTTCCTGAACCGCATACAGGAAATATTGACGAGAGTAGCTTAGTTTATCATCTGATTAATGTTTCTTTGATGAAATACCAAAATTTTCAAGTTGATATTGTTTAAGTGGGCTGCTTAAGTGCATGCCGGTTTATTCCTAAGGCTTTTGATATTCTGTTCCATTCAGACAGAACTAAGAAAGAGCTGAAAAGGGTGCAGATAAGCGCGTACCTTTGGCGTAACATACGTGCAAACATGCGGTGATAGTGTTCATCCAAGCTGACGCTGTAAAGGAATCAGCTTTGTAATAGAGTATTGCAACAGTAACCGCTTTTAACAGCGCTAGTCTAGCAACTTAGAATTTCAGTTATTTTTGCTTTTTTGTGTGTGTGTGCCTTTGAACATCATTGTGTGATTTGAATATAGAGGTCAACAATAAAATAAATAGCTCTTGCTGTTTTCGTTACGGTATCGTTTTTTTTTTTAATACGTTTGTTTGGATTTTTGTTTGTTTCATATTTGAAAGGGCGGGCATGTAACACACGTCGAGTCACATGAACTTACGATCCACATCTTTTTAATTCCACTGACCATTGATCAGACAGAGATGAACCACATTTCTGCAAGTTTAGTTCTTCCTAGCATCAGTGCATGGTGCTTCTAAGGCCGAGTTTTCCACCATTCAGAGCTTTCCGGATCGATGTCGTCAGTGCAAATACATATGTGAGGCCATTCACGTACATAAACTTCTAGAAAAACAGAATAGGATAGTTTTCAATAAAATGGCAAAGTTAGATCTACATTCTCTATAAAATTTAATCCCCAAGCCAAGAAAAAGGAGATGAAATATAACTTTAAGAATGAATTCTCGCCATTGCTCCAAAGATAATGCAGACCGTTTTAGAGATTCCTACGTTAAGAAGAGAAAGTGTGTTATCATGAATTGGAATAGAAAGGGTTGACTGAATTTTTTTCTTCTTCCGGCAAAGAGGTAGAAAATAAGTTGTTCGTCGATTTTGGCCTTCAAAACTAATTTTGTTATTCTCGATAACCACACGAGGAAGACGATGAAGAATATTTTGTGGACGTCTCGTCGGAAGAAGATGAGGACACAATCTCGACCAAGGAGGTTTCATCAGCCAGAAAAGAGCCACATCTACGCCCTGTAGACTCAGTAAAGCCCCCAAAAACTTGAACACGTATGAGCGGGGCTCAGAAAAGTCAAACCTATAAGTCCTCCGAGAGAAATTCGCCATACAGCGGGGCGGAAAACTCTTGTCTGCGAGAACTCAATAGGCTTTCCAGACATTATTATTCTTTAGTTTCTCATTTTGCTCATACACTTATGAAGGTTAGTTGTAGCATGTCTGTATTTTATTACCCATGGCTTTAATCAATACATAGTGTTACTGTTTGTAAATATTTCATATTCTTTGTCGCTTTTTTGCCAAAGCATTAATTGTGGTATTGAAAAACTAGCACCACCTTTTAACGACTTAAATAAGGAGCTAAAACAAACCACGACCTGGTCGCTCCCGTTTTCCGGCGCTTTAAGTGGTTTGGTTTTTACTTCTAGTTTTCATTGGCTCTTTGGGGTATCTTTCTATCTTCTGATTGGTCGTTGTGATTTCTTTGGTGTTTTCAGTAACAGCTAAGTTCGATATTGCCCTCCTATTTTGAATTTAGTGCGAAAATAAATAACTTGAAGGCAATCTTAACAAGTCAGTGAGAGAGGAGGCATTCGCTCAATAAGAAAGGTGATAGCAGAAACGTTCCTCAGAGCATCGATGCTAAAGAAGAGCGGTTTTTGATTGAGTGTGGTAAAACTAAAACCAGAATAATCACAACGGCCAATAAGAAGAAAGGATATTACTCTTCGAGCCAATGAGAACTCAAGGTAAAGAGAGACCAGCTCACTATTGGTTTAGCTTTGTATCTGATTGGTTGGGAAAGTGGCGCGAGTTTTCTGGCCAATCACCTGACGAAGTAAATAAAAAAACAAAGCAATGCCGTATTATTTTTGACACTCGATGGAAAATTTCTCTACTGCGATGCGGTCTTTTTTTAACTGTAATCGTTTCTTTGTTTTTTTTTAATATTTTTCCTAGAACGCCCATCTGCTTGAAAATTCCAAAGCGTCAAGAGGCGGCACTTATGATGTCAAACGAGGGAGCGCCAGTGACAAGCAACTTAGATGGGAAGAGAAAAAGGCGGGAAAAACTGGAATACAAAGAAAGGAAAACGGGGTCGTGAAAGGGGCTGAAGAAAAGGTCCGCGAAGAGAGTCCAATTTCAATCTGAGAACAAATTTTAGATCAAAAGGGAGAGGTGGAAAAAGGCTAAGAGAGTACAATCTGCCCTATTGGTTTAGCTTTGTCTCTGATTGGTTGGGAAAGTGGCACGAGTTTTCAAGCCAATCACATGACGAAGTAAATTTATAAACAAAGCAATGCCGTATTCAAGTTACTTTTGACACTCAAAGGAAAATTTTCTCTTCTGCGATGCAGTCTTTTTTAAATTATAATCGTTTCATTGTTTTTTTAATAATTTTCCTAGATCGCCCATCTGCTTGAAAATTCCAAAGCGTCAAGAGGCGGTACTTATGATGTCAAGCGAGGGAGCGCCAGCGACAAGCAACTTAGATGGGAAGAGAAAAATGCGGGTAAAACTGGAATACAAAGAGAGGAAATCGGGGTCGTGGAAGAAAGGGTCCACGAAGAGAGTTCAATTTCAATCCGAGAACAAATTTTAAGTCAAAAGGGAGAGGTGGAAAGATAGTACAATCTGCCCTCTTCTTGATCTGTTTGCATAGAAATGCATCCGATGTCAAGGCATACTATGAAAGTGACACAACGAAGAGTTAAGAACTGTGATTTATCAGGCCAGTGGATTTCAAAAGGCAAAAGTTATCAGAATTGCCCATTAACTTAGGAGTGGACGCTATTGTAAATGAATGACTGTGTTAGGATTTGACATGCGAGTAACTTTCACAACAATCATCAATGAGTCTACTTGCCTTTGTTAACGCACTTTCACGTTAGAAATGTGTAATCTCATTTCTCCAGCAGTGGGCTTTCTTGATAAATGCAGAAAATCACTGAAGTTAAAGTAACAGAATTTAACACGAGCATATGATTGTATATTATCATTCAATATAAATCTCTTATCATCAAAACAGCTGGGTGATACTTAATAGATTGCATCACTTCCAAGCTAGTGATTTTGACTTCTGATGTTTTTCATTTTATGATGGCAGTTTTTGACCAGTTTCTGTCCCAAAATCAAACTCTATTCCCTTAACAGTTTTATTCTGATGATCTTGCAGTTTTTCAATTACTTTAACTTGTTTTTATTTGTCAATAGTATCCCTCACCTCTCTCTGAACGTCTATGACAGGCTTGTATGCTTCTTCAATATCTTCATAAAGATTCTGCTTCTCATACCAATACTGTTTCATCTCATGTCTCACTTTTATAGCTTTTTTCTTTTAGCTTTTATCTTTGATTCACTGCGTCTTTTTAACCTTTCTATGTGCATTCTACATATGTACATTCTATAAAATTATTTCAACTTGTCTGAAAGTATTTAACAAACATATATAAATGAACATCCCCAATTATGGCTTCAATGACGACAGAGAAAACAATTTCAAAAAGATACATTCATATATGCTACAGGATATATTGAGAATGCTCATTACCGAAAGAAGTGACTTCCCCTTCTGGTGGAGGCAAGACAAATTTATTGTATCGCATGTTGATGGCACCGATGCTGTTTTATGACAAGCTGTATCTTTATGCTAAAAATATCGAACAGAGCAAGCACAAACATATGATTGATAATTTGACAGATGTGAGCAAACAAGTTAGTTATGATGTCTTTCATCACAATAATGGTGATATCATTCCAGTAGATGAAATGGACACGAATTCACAGAAAATAGCCATATTCGATGGTTTTATCTGTGAAAAAAAAAAATAAAGAAATAAAGAAATATAAAGGTTGGCTTGATTACTTTATTAGAGGCAGACAGAAAAACTGCTTTGTCATTAATTTGTCTTTTAAAGGTTTTTATAAAACACCGAAAGACATTCGCTTGAATTGCAGTCATTATGCTGTTTATAACTTCCCCATTAGCAATGAAAGAAACATGATATCAAGAGAGTTGGGTGTGACAAAAAGTCAACATGTTAAAGCAAACGAAAACCCGTTTTCATTTCTATACGTTGACAAACCCGTGAAAAAAAATCAAAAGAAATTTTACGGAAATATCTAAACATATTACATAATGGAATCTTCATTGAACATGGAAAATTGTGTATTGAGAAAATTTCGAGAGGTCAAGAGGGACCTCCAGGTATTGGTTTTAAGTTCACTGATGATGGTAATTTTGATATCCGACATAAAATAATAATAAACAGTCATACTGTGTTATCAGACTATTTAAAATACGATCTTTTGCCAAAAAATACATTAAAGACAATCATACGAGCAAAATCATTGGCAGTGATTTCGATTAGAGCAATAACAAAACAATTTATCTTGTTGACCCGGTCAATCACACAGACGCTTTAAACAAGAAATATGGTGGTGACAACGTCATGAAAATAAGTAATAATTGATGGGATGCTGATGGTAAAACGATTTATAACTTGAAGAGAGCTGTTTACGATGATGAAGGTGTGACCAAGGGTCAAACAACCAAGACTCAAATATCACAGACAAAAAGGTTGACTTAAACTACTTGGTTCCACAGACAATGAAAAGCAGATTACTTATTCCAGACTATGAAAGCAGCGATCACAGTGACTTAGATGCAGTCAACAAAATTTGTCGATTCTAAAGACTTCTCTCTAGATTTATCAAGCGGCCTCGATATGATAGGATATAAACTGATCAATTTGGGTGATGCCAGCAATCCAACTGATGCTTTTAACAAAAAATATGTTGACACTTGCAAACAGTATTCTCGATGGCTCTGAACCTTTTCAGGATGATATGTCCATGAATAATTATAGAATAAAAAATGTACACACCCTGGTCAACGATTATGATGCTGTGGATAGACTTTTATGCGAAACAAGATATCGTAAAATGACAAATGATCATCAATTGAAAGTATCAAATTACGGGCGATGGGATGCAAAAGACAAAACGGATCAATATCGGTATCTGGGCAACTGTCCACCTACCCCTTCCCTAACCCAACAACAGTCTATTGATAACAAGTTAAGACTAATGTCGGGTTAGGGGAGGGGTAGGTGGGCAGTTGCTCAGATACTGATATTGATCCGACAAAACGATAATAGACCTCAAAAGAGCACAATACGATGACGAAGCTGTAGCACCCAATAATTAACTCTTGAAATTTCCGCGGGTCAGCCAGATGGAATAGATTTAAGTTTTTTTATTCGTAAAATTGGAAACTGAAGCATTTTCTCAAATATAAATATATATATATATATATATGAAAAGAACTCAGACTATTTTTATGTTAATCAAATAGATAAAAACATTGATGAAAATCAATTAACCCTTTAACTCCCATGTGTGACCAAGACAGAATTTCTCCTTACAATATTAATACAATATGAACCAGACAAGAGATATGAATAAAGAAAAATATCAATTTGGGGATAATTAGTTGATCCAATACTAAGTTCTCTGAACTAATATTATAAAAGTTGTATGATTGACAGGAAGGAGAATTATAAATTTGATCTGGGAGTTAAAGGGTTACTTGAGATCAAATCCTTATATCGACTTAATCATGAAAAAATTTGGCTATACTGCGGAGCACACAAACATTTTTAACAATTGAATTTATTATCAGCATGTGATGTTGTATCGGGCAAAAAGTAGATTATGTGACACTCAACCCATTGGTATTAGGGACTATATCAGGAACAGGCTTATTGCTTAAAAGGTACGATGGAATTTAAAATTATAAGCAAATAATCGAGCCATCACTGCCTTCGTCGTTTTGAAAAAATACTGGTTGATTTGCGATCCTTTGTGTGAGGCAAACCATAGGACGATCAAAATTATTTGACTCAGCCAAGGGTTCTTGAAGATATCGTCATCATTATGTGTCCTCTATTTAACAATTGGGATAGGGAATATTCACAAAAATTCATCTCCGAATAATTGTCTTTATACCATCGCTGACTGGTGTTTAAATTCTACTCCAGAACTGCTTATACGATATGGGATGCAGTCTGTCAGTAATCAGGGAGGCAAATTGTTATTACTGAGGGAGGGTAGGAATAGGCTCCTGATGAGGGGTGGAATACGAACTATTGGTACGCAGGGAGGGTGTGAGGTGGTTGTATTAGTAAATGCTACTGACTAATGGAGTTTTAATGGATCGTGCAAATTATTTTGAGCAGTTTTCGATTGACTATTGTTATGTCGAAATTTTTGCGCTGGCTCGCAGTGTTTCTTTATTTTGTGCCATGGGAATGCGAAACTGGCACCTAAACACTTGACTAAAATTGTTATTGAAAATATCGCCGTTTTCGGTCGACTTGTTCTAGCGCTTAATGATACCCACTGGTTAGCATGAATCATTCAACAGTTGTTTTACGTTTCCCTTTGTGAATACAGTATATTATTTCTTAATTTATCTACCTTCCTTTTGTCATTGATTTTAGCACACGACAGAAATCACGGATCTTCGTTCTTAAGCAAAGCATTCACAAGCGCTACTGCAGTACTAATGGTCTACCTCCCCCCATAAAATGATCCCCAAAAAATGGTCCAAAAATTAGGTTTAAAAAAGATCCAAAAATTGGTCCAAAAATAGTCCAAAAAAAGAAAGTCCATTAGTCCAAGGGTCCAGTGGTCCAGTCCACACTTTACCCTATGGTTACTTTCTGTGACAAACAGACTTTCGGATTATCTTACGTCTATTATCATAAAAATCAACAAATTCATTAACGGGGTCGTATCCATCAACTTGACGTTAATAAACATATATATACTCTCCATTAACGTTTTCAAGTTTAATATTCCTACAACATTTTTGACTTTCACAGTATGTTTTTGAATTTGTTCATCCGAAACTTACATCTAATTTTCTCTGAAGCGTCATGAATTTCAGAATAACAATTCATTATTCTATGACATAATGTGATATTTTTTTTAGACCCAGAAACACCGACAAATTTCACTGACAAGCGTAACTAACAAACTTTACTGACAAACTTTACTGACAAACTTTACTGACAAACTTTACTGACAATTTTTACTGGTAATCCTAAGAACGATAGCAAAGTGATGACTCATTTCCTCAGGAAAGTCCTTTATGTATTACGTCATCAACTTCCTGTCGTTCTAAAAATCACACCACCGCGTGACGTTCATTTGTGTGTGGTCAAATCATGGATGCATGAATACCCCCCTACATCATATTATTTTCATAATTTATTTCAATAAAATTATTTCCATCTTTTATATCCATAAAGCTATTTCCTTCAAATTATTTCCATTAATTATTTCCGTAAAAAATGGAAAGTAGTGTAATTGAGATGGCTTTGTGTGAGATCACTTTTTCAAAGTGGTCTCTACAGCCATCTCCTATAATACTACTCTTCCATATGTGAAAGTATCGAATTTTTAAAACGAGATCACTGGAGAAAAGAAATAGAACATGGACGACCATGCGAAGTTAAAAGAATGACTACATAAGCAACACAGACACATTCACATTCATTTGGATTTTCAGGATTTTATTGAAAACAATATTGTGGTAATCTGAAGCTGCAATTGCAAAATTAAAGAGTATTAAAAACGAATATTTTTCTAACCAAAAAAGTCAGATAAAGGGCAGCGAAATCAAAAGTACTTACATTTGTCCAGCCTTGTCAGCTACATAGATTTAAAGTCTCAAACACAAACATTTCCAATTGAAAAAAAGGCCCTTAAAAACACCGTAGTAAAGCATGCATTACGAATACCGAAAAAAGAAAAAAACGTGTTACATGTAAAAATACATGTAAAAATCACGCAAGCTTTTAATGGCCGTAGATTAGAGTCCAATCTCTTGCGATTTCGCTGACGCAATATTTACCACAAGTCGTATTTCCTTCACAAGATGACTTCGGACCGTTGAAATAGATGACTTGAAAACCAACTCAGTTTTGAAACTAATTTATATTCATTTTAGCTTCTTCTCGATGTTTGCTCCAATAGTTGTTTGGTTGTTTTGTATTGACCAACTCGCCGCCTTGAAGGAATTTAAGAGAGCTTTTCAAGCTGGTGATGTCATGCTTGGAGGACTCACAGTGTTACATTACAAGGATTCTAACGACAAATGCGGTGTAGACATCTTTCCCGTTGGTTTCGGTCACGCTGAAGCAATGATCTTCACGATCGAACAAATCAACAATGACCCTTCATTGCTTCCGAATGTTACTCTCGGCTTCGACATCCGTGACTACTGCGAAACTGTATCTGTTGCTGTTGAAGAAACATACGAGTTTGTGCGAGATGCAGATTTGTATCATATGTTTACGAACAGAAATTTCAGCATGGATAACGACACAACTTCTTGCTACAGCAAAGATGCTGTTGCTCCTGTTTCTACAATAATTGGACCGTACGACTCAGCCAGCTCAGTTCAGATTGCGAGTCTTCTCAGCATGGCCAAAATCCCAATAATAAGCTATGCTGCGACGAGTGACGAGCTTAGTTCCGATCAATATCCATACTTCTTAAGAACCGTTCCGCCTGACAGGCAACAAGCAAAAGTGCAAGCAGATCTGTTTGAATACTTCAAATGGACATATATTGGTACGGTGGCTCTGGATGATTCTTACGGGCGGTTTGGCGTCTCTGCGTTACAGAAAGAGGCGTATAATCGAGGAACCTTTTGCTTGGCCTTTTCAGAGTTTGTTCCGCGTCTTGGTGCTGCCACCGGTATTAGACAGATTGTGTCACGTATTAAGCAGCAGAGAAATGTCAAAGTCATTGTGGTGTGGGTCTTTGGGGGATATGCGAAGCTGTTCTTTGAGGAAGTTCACAGGCAAAAGCTTGGGAAACGGACCTGGATTCTCGGTGATGGAACGAGTACAGAGGATAGCGGACTGCTGGGACCGTATTTTCGTCTACTGGACGGCGCCCTTGGCGTTCAGCCACGCGATCGCAAAGATAAAACTTTCCTGAACTACTTGTATTCTTTAACGCCGAGTAAAACTCGTTTAGGAAGGAATCCGTGGTGGGAAGAATACTGGGAAAAATTTCGGAATTGCACCTCTGACGCAGACAGCGCAGCCGACCCGCAGTGCTTTAATGTATCTTTGTCATCAGAGGAAGTTTTCAAACTGTTTGACCCTTACCTTGGCTACCTAATAGACGCTGTCTATGCCGTGGCATTTGCATTAGACAAGCATTTTAGTTGTCGCCCTACAAACCGCGAACTTTCGGGGGAAGCATGCTCTGATGGAAAGCCATTGGCAACTGACGGAAAGGATCTGTTGTCCCTCTTGAAAAATGTTAGTTTTAAAGGACTTACTGGCGTTGTAGAATTTGACCGCGAAGGTGATCCCAAGAATTCTTTCTTTGAAATTGTGAACGTCCAAATAAATAGCACGGGAGCTTCAAAGAAGGCCTTGGTAGGATCCTGGAGTAGTAGTAAGAAGCCAAGGTTGGCACTGAACGACTCCACGATCAAATGGGCGAACGCTACTTTTGCTACAAAGGTACCGTCCTCATTCTGTAGTCAAGTGTGTCCCCCCGGAACTAGGCAAGAGGTAACCACTTCATGTTGTTGGAAGTGCGTTACCTGTCCGGGGGGCACAATCAGCAAGTCGCCTGGATCGACCAACTGCACGGAGTGCACGCGTAAACAAAAGCCGAACGATGATAAAACCAAATGCGAAGATCTGCCAGTGAAAAACCTTCACTTCAGAGATGCAGCTGGTGTATTCCTCTCTTGCGTGACTGCGTTAGGATTTTGCATGACCGTGGCTATGTTACTTGTGTTTGTGAAATACCGCGAGACACTAATTGTGAAAGCCTCAAATAGACAGCTCAGTTTTCTCCTTCTTGCTGCGATCTTCTCCAGTTTTACTCTGGCGCTGTTGAGCATTACAAAGCCAACTGATTCTATATGCCGCTTGATTCAGTTTTCCCGGTACGCAATCTACACCACTTTTGTATCCATATTGTGGCTGAAGTCAGTTCGCATTTTCGTCGTTTTTCAAGTCGACAGTTCAGAAATGCCCTTCCAAAGTTACATTTCAAGAGTAAAATACCAAGTCGCTTTGGTTGCTCTGGTGAACATTGTCGACATCGTGCTTTTAACAGCGTGGTTCGCTTCGGATCCGCCATACAGAAACGAGAAGATACAACCGACCCAATTCATCTTCTACACGTGTAAACTGTACGGGTCGTCGGTCGGAAAAGCGTTTTATTTCATGGTCTGTTCGTATGTGTTGTTGCTGTCATTGCTTTCGTCTTTTTATGCATTCAAAGTTCGCAAAGTGCCAGATAATTTCAACGAGGCACGCTTCATCGGCTTCTCGCTTTACATAATTTTGTTGTCTGCACTGTGTTATTACTCGGTGGATTTCTCAGTGCAGGATGCTTGGTATGTTTCTGTTATAGCCTGCAGCACGACACTAGTTGATTCGTTTGGCCTGCTTGGTTGCATGTTTATTCCTAAAGCTTTCATTATCTTGTTCCATCCTGAAAAAAATAAGAAAGAGCTCATAGGGGCTCAGATCACTGCGTACGTTCGTAAGAATACACAGTTAGCCAATGTGAATACGCGTGATAGCAGATCAGAGATCAACCAGATCAGCCAAAGCAGCTTAAGTATCGATGTTGGGTCGAAGAACTAGACTGATGGCTCCATTAAGGAAACTCTAATCTAAATTCTCAGAACTAATTTATGTGTAAACTCCTCGTTACATTTCCTAAACCACATACAGGAAATGTTGACGAGAGAAGCTTAGTTTTTTTATCTGATTAGTGTTAATTTGATGAAATACCGACATATTCAACCTTTTTTGTAAGAAATATGTTGTTTGACGATAGTTGATTTTGTTTAAGTGGGCTGCTTAAGTGTAGACCAGTTTATTCCTAAAGCTTTTTATATCCTGTTCCATTCAGATATAACTAAGAAAGAGCTGAAAAGGGTGCAGATCAGCGCGTACGTTTGGCGTAACACACGCGCAAACATGCGGTGATAGTTTTCATCCAAGCTGACGCTGTAAAGGAATCAGCTTTGTATTTGAGTATGGCAACAGCAACCGCTTTTAAAAGCGTTAGTCTAGCAACTTAGAATTTCAGTTATTTTGGCCTTTTTTTTTTGTACCTTTTAACATCATCGTGTGATTTGGATATAGAGGTCAACAATGAAATAAATAGCTCTTGCTGTTTTCGTTACGGTTGATATTGTTGTTGTTATCGTTTTTTTAAACGTTTGTTATGATTTTTGTTCGTTTCATATTTGAAAGGGCGGGGCATGGAGACGAAATATAACTTTGAGAGAGAAATGTCACCATTACTTCAAAGATAATGCAGACCGTTTTAAAGATTCCTGCGTAAAGAAGAGAAAGTTTGTTATCATGAAGTAGAATAAAAAATGGTTGACTGACTTTTTTCCTTGTTCCGGCAAAGAGATAGAAAACAAGTTGCTCGTCGATTTTGGCCTTCAAAACTAATTTTGTAATTCTCGATAACCGCAGAAGGAAGACGATGAAGAATACTTTGTGGACGTCCCTGTTGGAAGATGATGAAGACAAAATCTCGACCGTGGTTTCATCAGCCAGAAAAGGGCCACAACTACGCCATGTTGACGTAGCAAAGCCCCCAAAGACTTTAACACGTATGAACGAGGCTCAGAAGAGTCAAACCTATGAGCCCTCCTGGAGAAATCCGCTGTGCAGCGTGGCGGAAAACTCTTGTCTGCGAGAACTCAATAGGCTTTTCAGACATTATCGTCCTTCAGTCTCTCATTTTACTCGTACACTTATGAAGGTTAGTTGTAGCATGTCTGTATTTTATTACCCATGGATTGAATTAATATATAGTGTTACTGTTTGTAAATATTCCATATTCTTTGTCGCTTTCTTTGCCCAAATTGCAGTTTTGGAAAACTCGCGCCACCTTCTTAACCACTTAAATAAGGAGCTAAAACAAACCACGACTTGGTCGCTCCCGTTTTCAGGCGCTTTAGGTAGTTTGGTTTTTCCTTAGAGTTTTCATTGGCTCTTTAAGGTATCTTTCTCTCTTCTGATTGGTTGTTGTGATTTCTCTGGTGTTTTCACTAACAGTTAAGTTCGATATTGCCCTCCTGTTTTGAATTTAGTGCGAAAATAAATAACTTGAAGGCAATCTTAACAAGTCAGCGAGAGAGGACACACTCGCTTAGAAAGAAAGGTGATAGCAGAACGTTCCTCAGAGCATCGATGCTAAAGAAGAGCGGTTTTTGATCGAGAGTGGTAAAACCAAAACCAGAGTAATCACAAAGGCCAATCAGAAGAAAGGATATTACTCTTCGGGCCAATGAGAAGTCAAGGTAAAGAGAGACCAGCTCACTATTGGTTTAGCTTTGTATCTGATTGGTTGGGAAAGTGGCGCGAGTTTCTAGCCAATCACGTGACGAAGTAAATAAAAAAACAAAGCAATGCCGATTACTTTTGACACTCGATGGAAAATTGCTCTACTGCGATGCGGTCTTTTTTAAATTGTAATCGTTTGTTTGTTTTTTTAATATTTTTCCTAGTTAGCCCATCTGCTTGAAAATTCCAAAGCGTCAAGAGGCGGCATTTATGATGTCAAACGAGGGAGCGCCAGTGACAAGCAACTTAGATGGGAAGAGAAAAAGGTGGGAAAAAACTGGAATACAAAGAGAAGAAATCGGGGTCGTGGAAGGGGCGGAAGAAAAGGTCCGCGAAAAAAGTCCAATTTTAATCCGAGAAAAGGGAGAGGTGGAAAAAGGCCAAGATAGTACAATCTGCCCTCTCCTTGATTTGTTTGGGTAGAAATGCTTCCAATGTCACCGCATGAAAGTGACACAACGAAGAATTAAGAAATGTGATCGATTTGGCAAGTGGATTTCAAAAGGCATAAGTTCTCAGAATTACTTATTAACCTAGGAACGGACGCTGCTGTAAATGAATGACTGTGTGAGGATTTGACCTGCGAGTGATTTCCACAACATTCATCAATAAGTTTACTTGCCTCTGTTAACGCACTTTCGTGAAAGTGTAATATCATTTAACCAGTAATGGCTTTCTTGATAAATGCAGAAAATTAAGTTAAAGTTACAGAATTTAACAATTTTCTAAGCCCAAAAGTAACTTTAGAGGCGACGGGAAATCTGTAACCGCCTCCGTTCACCAATCTTCTTCAGATTAACTCCTCTGGTACATCAGGTATCTAGAAAAATCGATCACTCAGAGATTAAACTGATCAAATATAAATGCTTCATATTTGTTAAGACTTAATGCGCCGATCAATTCGAAGCTGCGTCTCCCCTTCCGCCCCTCCCTCAGGAAACCAACGGGCATTCGACTGTCGTCCGTGTCCAGAGATGGAGCATTTGAACCGTACCTGGGAATTTGAATCGGAAGTTCCAGGTTTTTCTAGGATAATACAAGTGTTATGTAAAAACTATGACCTCTATTTGGCGTGAAAATATCCACGGATATTTGTCCGCAGACATTATCCTATTCCAAGATGCGAACAGTTATCCGACAGCGAAGCTCGGGGAAAACTGTGTGCTTCAAGGAACAAATAATGTCCAAGGACAAATATACAAGCATATTTTTGCGCAAAATAGAGGCTGTTGTAATTATTATCCTTCAAAGATTTTGCAACGCGCGTGAAAAAATGTTTATGAACAGCTTACTATTTGCTGAGTAAAAGTGTTCTCTGATACGACATGATAAACGAATAAATATTTCCCTTCTGTATCAAATACAAAACGCTGTCTTACCTTGAATTAAATATTAAACGAAGGCTTATCGTAGTGGACGTAGGGTTTAAAAATTGTTGAATATCACTTGGTCCTCGGATACCCCCCCCCCATATTCGGTCACGTGATGCGTTTAGACCAGTCGCGCGCGCAAAAATATTTAATGGATCATTACTTTTACATATTGAGATGTAGTTCATTTTCGGGAGCAAATGGCTAAAAAAAAAAAAAAAGGTCCACAAGGTCTAGGTTACTAAGCTTGGAAAATGCGTAAAGAGTCACAGTCGCTGATGTTGCCTATTACAAAATATTGGGTGGGTCATTTGAACAAACCAATCAACAGAAGTTCAAATGTCTCAGGAGTTGCCGAAGATATTGAAGCTTCGAATTGATCGACGCACATTTGTTTATCGCACATGGCCTCGTACCTTTTTGAGAATATTTCTGCGACTGACATGTTAACGTTATTAAGGAAACGTTGTTGAGGAAAAAAAGAAGAAAAAAGGAAGACAAGAAAACTCCCATAGCAACACTAATATTTGTTAAGATTTAAATAACCTGCCTCTGCATTTAAAGCTTAGCTCCAAGCATAAGGTACCAGTCACTTTTTTAATCGCCTGGGGAAGATGAGGGAGGGACGGGGGGAAATGGAGGAACGGAGGATGTCAAAGGGGAACTATAGGACATCAACTGTCAATGAGAGGTGGGGGGGGGGGTTTCCATACATTTATCACACGGCCCTATGGGGATCAGGTTAATATTAATATTCTATTATTTCAATGTGATACTACTAAAATCCTCCGGAGCCCCCGCCTCCCCCTCCCCTTCCCTTATCTCAAACAAGGCTTTGAATAATGAAAGGTCCTTTATTCTTTAGAAAAAGAGTATTTGCTTTACCGAGACTGTAATATCCACGAGATCGTTTGCCAGCTGTTGTACTCTGTGCATCTCTTGCACGTTGTATTCCAAAGAGACGAGCAGGGTAAAATATTCGGCGATGAAAGCTCGTTCCCTAGAAAGCAATAAAATATTAATGACAGTTGTTCTATGTGTGGGATAACGTAAATGGAGGGGATGAGTTGCTCTAGCGGTAATATTAAGAATTGGGTGTTTGATCAGATGTTCACACAATATTCTGGTGTTGATATCTCTCACTGTTGCCTTCACCTTTCTGTTGGAAATGAAGCTGATATCATGCCAGGGAGAAATCACTTGTACACCAGTCCCAGGAGTGAAAGGGTTAACGGAAGAAGACTGGGAACTTGTGCTTTGTTCATACCTGTCAGAGAATTTATTTTTAGGATAGTAGTCCTCCACTTTTTTCGCAATCACGATGTCGGCGTCTTCTTCCTCCTCCTCGTCTACTAGAACAATGATATTAAACATTCACTTCCACGTTTCCCTTCAGCCACATATCAACCAACAGTAAAGAGAAGAAAACAAATCTCTCATTGACCACAAAATTTGAAAATATTTCCACCTCAGCTTATGAGAATGGTGAAAATTAAGACGGTGCCCATTTGCTGTAAACTTTACGAGAGCGTTCAAGTGTAACAGAGCCAATCAGACCCTTGTAACGCTTTTTTCAATTCTAACTCAAGTTCCACTGCAACTTCTTCGGTGGACTCCCTCAAAGGTAGGTTAGGTCTTGCCAGGAGGCTTATCCCGGTTAGGAAGCGACTGACCATTAATACTCCCGCCTGAGTAAGATGCCAGTCAATCGGAAGGTGATCGTCCAGCATTTCATCACGCAGTCCTGACAATTCGCCGGTACCCATCTAAACTCCTGGGAGGAGAGAGGCATGGTGACCATGGTGAAAGTAAAATGTATTGCCTTAAAACACTACACAATGACCCTGACAGGTCTCGAACCCAGACCTTTTTTACCTTCAAATTCGGAAAAAGAATTGTCCGAAAAAGAGTATGCACTTCCTTCTTCGCCTGACTTTACCTAATAAAAGGATTAGAAAAAGAGAAAATGAGTGATTTTCCGTTACAAACCATTGGACGTAAAAACTTTATTTAATCCATTTAATCCCGTTCCCGATTAATTTTGGGTTTCTTTGATAATACCTTAAAATAAATGATAAAATGGAATTCTTTGTTGATAGAAACAAACAGCCTAAGGCTTCCTAAAATTATCAAGGAACGACTTTGGAAAGAACAGATACGGGATCAATGTACTGCTTATACTGGTACTATGAGATCTGTTGTTACACTTCCGACTCATAGATCGCATTTCAACAAAGTTTTCTTCCGATCTTACGTCTTCAAAGACACTCTTGAAGTGAATCCCGCTGTTTTTCTTGTGAGGCTTGTTTTCCACGGCTGTGATGGTTCGCTGAAAGTTATCCACCAGAACTGCCACGAACAGACTAAGAGAAATGAGGAATTAGAAGAAAATGGAAGTTCAATAACTCACTTGAGTCATCCACTAGTTCTAAACGTCTTCGCCTAATGTAGCCTTTCTTGAGAGAGATCTTGTAATAAGGTCCCTTTCAACTGCAGCAACAACAACACCAATAACATCAACAGGAACAACAGAAAATTCTTACTTCATAAAGATAAAATTCTCCAGGACGATGTAAACGATGAGATAAAAGATGATGTAACCATAACCTACCAGAAATAGAACAGGATAAAAAGATTTTACCCACTTTGAGCTTAAGTCAATAGCAGTATTACAGTATGCGGGCCCCTTTGGACACCTTTCATCTGAATGACAAGTTATTCAGGTATTTTAACAACTTTTTCCCGAAGCGGCTGTCGATTATAACAGGTGGGTTTGCTGAAAGGCGAAACCCAAACAGAGAGCCTGCTCGCACGCTAGACAGACAGCAATGAGTGATCTTAAAGGGGGTGGAAGACCGCTGTTAATTTGGTTTTGGTTTATGTCTGTTTTGATCACAAACTTGTTCAATACGTAAGTATTACTCGGAGAACAAATTTGCAACGTTAAGAGTAAACGCGTCTGAATATTTATCAGAAGTGTTCATCAATGGAATAACAGTTATGCTTTGATTTCAGGATCACGTGCTAAGAACATTGTATGGAGAAAGTAGATATGATAAAAACATGAGTGACTGACCGAAATAACGAATGAATGAACAAAATGCATACATAAATATGAAATGAATAGTTGAACAAGCGGACGGATGGAATAGTGGACACACAGACGAAAAAACGAGACAAAAGATAGATATTAAAAAATTATATCAAGGAATAAATAGCAAAAGATATTAAAATGAGAAAAAAAGAAGTTGTTGCAAAAGATTTGAAAGAAATCAAATTTTTGCGCGAGGAGATGGCGTTCAATTAGCGGCACATACATTTTCCTATTCAGAACGCGATCAAAAGAGCTGAGAAAAAAAAATTAGCCCACCTGGATTTCTCGCCACAACATCACTGTACATATAGAACCAATCGTCCAAAGTAATGAGCTGGAAGAGTGTGAAGAACGCCTTCCCCAGAGTACCAAACCTGGCGGGAGCTACTTCATAAAATAACCCGCGACCTATCACCGCAAACATATCTATAGACCACATTGTTAGGAATCTATTGCAGTAACAGATTCTGCAAATGAGATTACGCTAGTGTAACCAAAATATAGTTTAGGCCTATTCTACGAAAGAAGTAAAATGCTTTTATCTCATATTGAAGAGAATAACTCTGCTTGAAACCGTGCTGTGTTAAAGAAGATGGCCGTCGTCGCGAGCGGTTTTTAGGCATGTTGTTAAAACGAGAAAAAAGAAAGAGGCAGGGGCGCTGAAACAGTGAAGCTGAGCTTGTTCTATCGCTAATTTTAGCAGCTCCGCCGATGAAACCTCCAACAAAACGCCCAGCTGCCTGGGCAACGCAGAAAATGGTCGGAGAGAGAATAAAAATAGTCGATAAGGCAAGCCGTAAAGCCTCGAGAAAAATTTGCTGTACAAATAATTATAACAGGAGTCAAAGGATACAAAGGAAGAGTCCCTGTAGCATAACGATCGTACTCAGCGCCCTGAACGATTTTAGGATCGTTGTCATGATAACTTGTAGATTTTTCAAAAACCTTCAAAGAAAAACATTCAGGCCTCTAAATCAAAAAGATTTACTGAAAGATCATCGCAGAACAGTATGTCATGATTCCGTATCATTTGGTTATATCATAGACTTGTTTTCTAAAGTTTTAGAAATTGCTCAGTAATAAACTTTAAGCCGCAGTTCTGTAAAATACTAATATTGTTGTTGTGGTTTTTTTAATCCTCGTTCCGTCCCACTCTTACATGGAGTTTGATTAATATCCTCTTAACCCATGTATTCCAGACAATGTAGTGGTAATTTTGGTTGAAGTCGCAAATGGTCTTGCCAAAGTTACAGTAGGGATTGAGCGAAGCTTTTCAATGTGTCTCCGTTAAGGCCATACTCAAAGCTCTTTTTCTCTGGGGCCGAGCTTCTTCGCGCAAGGCCTGTCATAGCCGTAATCTAAGATTTTAACCAAACACACTACCCTTCCCCCCACCTCCCCTTGTATTGCAGAACGCGCCACAACGATGGGCACGTAGGAGATTAAAAGAGTAGTGTCACTTTTGCTTAAAGATTGCATAGCACAACAACGCTCGTACAAATGCCAAAGGGACACACCACACAGAAGTAAACCCCACCAAATCTTTACCTGATGGTTCGTAACACCCGCAATGCTCTCAGCGCCCTGATAGCTCTAAACATGCGCAGTAGCCTAAAGATGGCTGCCACATCGAAGGAACCTACATTCTGCACGATCAGCGGCAGCAGAAAGTCCACAACTGTGAAAAGGACGATGAGTAGGTCTAGGAAAGAACACAAAAATTACGACCGTGAGATGATTAAAAGTACAGCGTACAATCGTCGCTATTATTAACCAAGGCGATTGTTTTAGGAAGTTTCATTTGCTTGAAGTTCAACCCTTTACACCCTAACATCAGTATCCATACTCTCAATACTCTTCTCCATATATCTTTTCGGTACTGACAAGGACAATTTCTTTGAAGATCAAAGCTTCTTAAGTCGGCGATCATTTCCTTCATTCTCATGATATTAATAAATGGTTTAGCAGTGTTATTGTAAAGAGAAATTAGATGCTGGTCACTTTTAGGGTTTACAGGGTCAAAGGCTAGTCTGTCAGTAGGTCCTCACTATTAGTGCTGCGGGACGCGCGTTTCTCCGCCCGCGGGAAGAATTAAGACGAGTTAGGGAGAGGTTTGCCCAGGGTCTGGCACTAATTAAAAAAAAAAACGACATTGTTCAACATTAAAACCCATAAATACTGTCAATGAAAATTTGAGTAAGATATCTTTAGAAATAGGAAAATTTACCAGGCTTTCAAAAAGCAAAGAGTGTTAAGATTGGAAAGTGGGGGGGGGGGAGAGGAGTGCTTATAAATCCCCTTAATACTTTTTAGTTGTTATTGTGAATGTTGTGAAGTTCAGAGATATATCTTAATCAAGGCTGTCATTTGTCCAGCATCAATAATTAGAGCCATAGAAATTCCAGTCAGTCTTTCATGAGCAAAAATACCTGTACACTGATCTACTACCTTTGTAACATTTCACCCACAAGGATGCAAGCAAAAATATTTCTCTAATGTGGACATTGCTCATAATGTCCGTTTAACTAAATTTTTCACGGCATCACATTAGTCTGGATTGTAGTGCTATTCTGCATATGATCGTCATTGTTAAGAAACTGATCAATTAACCCTCCACACCTTAACAACAGCATCCATTTTCTCCATACTGTTCTCTACACATTTCCTTCGGTACTGAAAAGGAGAATTTGCTTAACAATCACAGCTTCTTAGCTAGGCTGGCAATCATTTGCTTTATATTCTCATGATCTTAATCAATGATTCAGAACTATTACTGTAAGGAGAAAATAGATGCTGATCCATCTTAGGGTTTAACGCGTCAAGTAATTTTTGCTAGGTGAAAAGTAAACTTAAAGTGAATCCTGTAGGCTGCGCCATGTTTACTTACCCATTATGTTCCATCCAGTTTTGAAGAAATACGAGCGAAGAGCATACAGCTTCACAATGATCTCCATGAAATAGATAGCAAGGAAGACGTTGTCGAGAACCGATAAATACCAACCTGCAATTGATCATGGAAGAGGTATTCAAACTGTTATTGTATGAGATCGTGAATAAAAATTGCTTGTCGGCAGTTTCTTGAGTGCTTAGTGGCTGAGAAAATCGGTGTTCGTTCTCTGTTTAAAAGCATGTAAGATGTTTACCACATTTATAGATCAAAAGGCTGGTGTGATTTCAAATTTAACTGTCAGTCTGATGGCGATAAATAACGATTTGGTCAAAATGGTATAACAAGAATAGAAAATTAATGAAACATATCTAGAGGAAAGGTTCAGGTAGACTTGGTCGAATAAATGCTGCTGTAAGTTTAAAAGATTCCACAGTCACATTCTGCAGTCTGGTGTTTATAATCTTCACAGAACTTAATCTGTCGGAGGAGCAACTGTACTGGGAAAACGATTATTTTTCAGTCTTAAATAATTACTGTAGGAAAGTCGAAACCATTCATCACAGATTCAATATTTTTCCCCCGACAAGCATCACAATAAAGGAAAACCAATATCCAAAGCGATTTCACTGCAATTTTAAAAACTTTACCTGCTTTCACTGCAAATGCTTCGTCAGTTTGAATCACCAAGATCACTGTGTTGAGAAGAATTACGAACAGGATGCTAACGCTAAAAATTCTTGACTCTGTCAGCTCATAAATAAACATCCGAAACTCTCCAGCGTTTTCCAGAGTCTTTGGTATATGCTGGTGATGCTGAGCCTTCGTCATAATGAAATGATTCCCTTCACACTTACAGCGAATAGAGAAACGCAATCATTGCTTACCCGGCGGCCATTTTGAAAAACTACGTGCGAAGGGAATGGTGGGAAAAATTAAAGCAATGATTTACGATTGGTGTTCACCTGTCAAGCCAATCAAAGACGGAAAAATGGCATCTCTGACATAAGAATGCATACAAAGTTCGCCTTATATTTGCCACGTTGAAAACAAAGATAATTTGTTTTGATGAAAATCAAGAGCTTCTTTAGTCGGTGATGTTTTACGTATATTGAAGAAAGGCCAGTACAAATGTTAAGTCTGTTCTAGTTTCTATTGATGAGGTAGAATTATTCACCAAATTCTTCAAAGAAATAAATATATCAGGCCCAGTGCAGAGATACCATTTTTTTGGCAATATGTCTTTTTCTGCCAGAAATGTTTCCATCCACAAACTAGCAAATATTTACCATAGTGCATCTCTGATCCCTTCCTTGTGCAAGGGACATTGACAAGATGCTACACCATTAAATAATTTTCAGCTTAGGTGACAGCTCCCTTGGCCCCCATTTTAATGTTGCATGAATTTGAAACTAGTAATGAGTAGAAATTTAATTAAAAATAGCTTTATCTAAAAAGAGACTGATGGGAGCCTGCCAAGTAAATCTATTTGTTGTTGCAAAATTCCATTTAGTATGATGAGTAAACTGGATCAGTACATTTAAGGCTGCAAGGAACAATGGAAACTTGTCTGATGTATATACCCAACATTTCTTTTGTTATGGCTTGTTGTAATACATTGCATAAACAATGAGACATAAAGAAATTGGCCTTTAATAACACAATGGATTCATTGTTTACTCTCTTTTGTAGCTTTTGTGCAGCTGAGGCAGGAAGGACAGTTATCTTGAAGAAATACAGAAACAGCAGAAGGATAGGAGCATTGTGTGGAAACATGCCTCTCAATTTGTGAAATCTTTGTACAGTATCTCTTTTTGCCACTAGCCTGGTGCCCGGCTTTAAAAAAAGTTTAGTTCGTATTATGCCCAGTTTTAAACACTCAAGATGAGTGGTCATCATAGAAATTTCATTTAATGTTTTTAACCCTATTCCTCTTAAAAGTCTTCTTCCTACTTTCCCTCATAACATTGTCTGCTTATTATTTTAGCTCTGAAAAGTTCAATTTGACAAAATCCCCTAGTTTACACATTTTTTTCTTCTCCTCACCTCTATGCTTGACAATGTATTGATACTGTAAGGAGAAGTTACTTATTGATCAGTGCACAGGAGTGAAAAGAGTTACTGTTGTTAGTCCCTATCCAGAGCAAAGACAGAACTTGGCAGTACATAATGGTTGGTCCACTCTTTCTGCAGAGATCAATTGGTTGCAAACCAAAAAGGCTACACAGCAACTTTTCTGCAAGCTTGAACATTATTTTCTTCAAATTTCATGACCTTGGCTATTCTTCCCATGGACGTGGTCCTCGTTTGTTTTCCCAGTGGTCAATATCTAAATTTTGGGCGATATCCTGTTGCAAAGAGAATGTGTAAATTAATAAAGCAGAAAAAAAAGTAAATTAACACAAGTCGTTATGTCTTCGTCTTCTCCTTCTTGGCATTCCTAACACATTCCCAATGTTGACTTCACTGTAGTCCTTCTTTCTGTTTTTAAGGCTAAAATTTTCAGTGGTGATATCAAGACAATGCATTTTCAGTCAGTTACTATTTCGCACAAGAATATCTCTTCATGACAAGTGCAAATTCAATGATCAATAAAATAATAGTATTAATTTACCTTGTATGCCTCTTCGATTAAGACTTCTCTTCCCTTGTTGGGTAAAGCTTTAAGAGCTTCTTCCCTATTCAACTACACAGAAAAAAAAAAATTCTTTTATTCACATAAAATTATTTGATACTTCTAGTCTATAACTTAATATTAAAGTAAACTGGAATAAACTCTGGCCAGTTGGGCCATCAGACTTGAATGCTTACTCTACCTTTATTTATCTCGGTATCACTGACATTCGGGTATGTTTCACTTTCCTTATTGTTATCACTACTATCATTATTATTATTATTATAATTATTATTACTGGCTAAGAATATATGAAAGTTGTATATTTGAACTGTGGATAAAGATGTGAATATGAAAGTGATCCTCGCAGTAATATACACTACTTCAGCAGTAGTGAAAAAAAGGCTTAAAAAAAATTCAGGCCTGTACGGGATTTGAACTCATGACCTCTGTGATACTGGTGCAGCGCTCTACCAACAAGCCAACTGGGAGCTGGTCAATATGTGGGTTCCAAATAAACCCGTGAAGTGATGAATAAACGGCTAAGAATATATGATAAATTATTACTATTATTATTATTATTATTATTACTACTTGGCTTTGATACATCATGGCAATATCCAAATGTTCTGGGATTTCAATAAACTTTAGCCATGAATGATTCCCTGAATGTAAATTGGAAGAGAGGTATGATTAAATAAATGTCTCTTTCAGCTATCCACGGGAAAGAGATATTGAGGAAAAACATTAAGAGTGGTAAAAAGAGACCAGGCGACAAGCAGGTTTGCAGATGTATGATCTCAAGTTTGACGAGAAAATGAGTCCTTAAATCTATCAGCTTACCCTGTAAGTCTTTTCATCCCGGCGCTTAATTTTTATCTCAGTGAATTCCTTCAATGCAAACGATCCACCAACGATCAGACCCTTAAAAAAATTCATACAAGAAATAATTATGATAAGCTGTTCGTAGTGACGTCGTAATTTTCCAACTCTTAATAACTCAAAAGATTATATAAAATGGATAACTCGATGACAAATAAACAATCATATTAATATTAAAAAGAGTTAAGATTCTCTAGGACATATCTTTATGCAGGCCCTGCTCATAAGCAGAGCGTGATCCACTTACGATCATAGGGACACCAAATTTTACAAACTGAGCCGCCATATTGAGCGGCTGGGTAGCCCGGCATTCTTGATGAAAGTGACGCTTAGTGGCCGCCTCTGGTAGTCAAAATGGCGGCTGTATTCAGGAGATGTGTGTCCTGCCTGAACTTAGGAAAACCTTTAGTTTTAAGGAAGAGTGGAAATTTACCGAGTTTTTCAGGTTCTAACAAAGGTAAGATATTTTTTTCAGCATCATGAATTAAAAACATTTTATTTCGTCATCGAGTGTCAAATGATCGCACACATTTTCAAGGTTTTTCTAACCCCTTCGAATTTCAGTCACTTTACACAAAGTTGTTGAATTGGTCAGCTCTCCGTATAGATTTTGCGATTAACCTTTTTTGAGCAAAGGAGGGATTTGTCTCAAAATCCATGAATCCACCAAACTTTTTATCTCACAAGCTGTGCCCATTTATCTTTTATTATCATCTGTGATAAAAGATTCCTTTTCAGGGAGGTTTTGATTGTATTGATCTTACATCTTAGCATCCACATTGGAAACGTGTTCAGATCACAAATCTCGACTGAAACTCAAAGAGTGCACCTTGATCATTTCAGTAATCAGGGTGGAAATTTCTCCAAGACAAAGAGTATAATTTTTGATGAAGGTACTAAAAATGAGGCATTCTTACAGATTCGCTGATGGTGAAAGGATTTATTTCAGCTCTGATGATACAAGGCCAAAAGCGTACTTATGCAAGCGGAAATTCAGGTACAGCGTTCTAACATTGAAGAATGTACATGTAATCTAGCCAGGGATGACAATTGCCAGAAATCTGAAAATGTGCAGATTTTGATGAAGTCCCCAGCCATCTTCCCTTCTCAGTCTCAAAGAGTATTATTTATGTGTCTTGCTGCACAGGCAATACAAAAAATATATATTTCTCTTGCCAGGGCATGATATTGCATTAAGCTTATAACTTTACATTGCATGGTTATTTCTCCAGTCTGAAAAGGATGTGATGTAACTTAAAACAACATCTCCATCATTGTGAGAAAAAATAATGTAACATGTGTTTAGTACTTTTACAAGGTCTTAAGTCAATTGATTTATTGAAATGACAAAGCACTTTACTGTACTGTTGTAATCTAAAACTGATGACTATTTCGAAATCATTTTAGAGTATGATTTGTTGTGGGAGGCTGTAACTAGTGGTAGAGGAACAGGGAGACGGAAGAAGACAAATATTGTCAAAGGAATCGATCCAAAACTACTCAAGTATGGTAAGCTTAACAACATCTAAGATATTCCTTTTGGTGATAAATGTATCTTAATTTGAGACGGGGACACCGTTGAAGTATGGATAAGGACCGGGAGGCAGGGAAGCTTTGCTTTTACTCCAGGATTCATCATGCAGGGTTGTTGCTAAGTGCCAGCTGCCACCAAGATTAGCTGAGTGTGAAATATCAGGCTGAATTTGTGGATGTCATTATTGCTCAATAAAGCACAACTGACATTTCTGAAGTTTGATATGAAACACTGTTATGCAATTGAAAATATTTAAATATATAAAACTATATGACCAAGTTCAGTGTTAATGACACTACTGACTGTAAAGTGATAGAAAAGACATTTTATTTGGAGCTCTTGTTTCTTGTGACTTCTTTCTGCTTCTAGCATTCACAATTTTGTAATCAGGAAGCTCAGTAGCTTGGCATTTAAAGCACTGCATTAACTACTGTGAGTTGCACCAAGAGCTCTCATTTTGAGGCACTATTTGACCCCCCTTGCTTGAAATTACAGCCAGCAGCGTAATTTCTTAGCAACAATCTTGTTCACATCTCCCTGATATGCTGGAATCTGTTTGTTTTAAAATAATTAATAAAAGTCAAATTCTTTAGTGTTCAAAATTGCTGAAAAAAAGAGGCTAGAAGATTTATTTTCAGATCAAAATGTCAAGATTTGTCATAGTGCAGGTGTTTTTCTAAGGCCAGGTTCTTCACTTTCCCTACTTGCAATTGTCTCAAGTGAGAGACCCTTTTCCTCCTATATCCCCTACTAAGCAGGATTTTGTCATCAAATTTCTTCCATTGTTAGAAGTTAGAATAATAAAATCTATCAGAATCTGTCTTTTGCACATATATATTTCAATGACTCTAGGGGTTACTATAAAGGTCTCATTTAAAATAGATTACCTGAAGTAAGTGGATTTTGGAAAGCTTATATTTGGATTGTCTAGTACAGAACAAAGTTCTAACCATTATCTGTAGATCACTAGAATTGTACATCTCCTAAAAAAGTATTACAGGAATGACAAAAGTAAATTAATAATATCTCCAATGATTAGACAAGGCTGGCCTCAAGTGGAAAGGGTATAATGTTCCTATAAATGATGAGGTGGAACTGGACAGAGATGAAGAAGGAATTATAGTGAAACCAAAGAAGACTGGTGACAGAGGTTGGGCTGGAAAGGGCTGGCCAGGGAGAAAATGTGGAAACCCCTTTACTGCTGATGGAAGTGAGTTTGTGAATGACATTTCTAGAAATAATAGTACTTCAAATATTGCTCTCCACAGTTTTAGAGCTTTTAGTATTTAACCCTTTGATCTGTAAGAGTGACTAGCATCTACAGCTGTGATTTCTCCCTAAAATATCACCTTGGAATCACCCATTAAGGACAGGAGGGGAATGATCAGAAGATAGAAGTTCTTGGTTGTAAAACAAGTTCTCCTCATCACCACGTAATAAAATGTACATGGGAGATAGTATGGAGAATGTACATGTCCATGTTAGGGTTAAAAGGGTTAATTTGCAATCAACCTTGTTGTAATGAAGTGATGTAATTTTGTTGTTCCTGGCACTTCACAACAACAGCATACTATTTTTTTGGTGTGTGTAATTCAGCAGACAAGGTATCGATTAATCACTCTTTTGTTCATTTGAAATTTGTTTCCAGGGGAATTGTCAGACTTCTCAACTGTATGCATTGAGGTATTGTTTATTTGTTTTCAGACATACTGTAAATTATATGTCACCCAAATTATAAATTCCAACCTCTGAAGGAACAAAAATAAAAAAACTTCAAGCTTCTTTCCTGAAACATGAGAGAGATAAGGGAAAATAAATCATTATCAAGCCTAATTTTTATGTGGTGGATCTTGATTAGAGACAGAATTAAGGGCACATATAAATAAAATGATTAATGTAAATTGTAGCAATTATAACCTGTCCTGCCTAGTGAGTGCACAATTCCATAGAAAATCATTATGAAAACTGACAGAGCTGGACAGGTCACATGTATCATGTTAGTTGGTCTGGAAGAATTACAGGATGGCTTTAAACAGACTCCTTTTCGTGCTTCAACTAAGGAGGCAACAAAGGTAACGCGGGCAATGTTTTCTCACAAGAATGGCTTGTTATTGGAAGGAGATGAGCAGTTAAACATAAGCAAGGATTTCTTTAGTTCCAAGGAATTTTTTTTCTTGTTATTTTTAATCAAACTTAGGGCTCTGTAACTGAAGAAAAGCAGTGACCTCAGCAAGTACAAACTATGTAGGCAATATCAAAGCTTAGAAATTGAAAATACTGAAAAGAATTATCTATCAGAAACATACATTTACTTGAAATTAATATTTTAGTTGCGGAGAGTGAGCAACACAACATCTAATGGAAGGAAGAAAAGTCTGCGTGCCTTGGTAGTCGCTGGGAACAAAAATGGGCTAGCAGGTACATCGCGTATTTTATACAGAAGATACAGTATGGAATATGAACCCACTCTCAATTTTTCTGAGTCATTTTTAAAAAATCCGGCCAGGTTTTTTTTTTCTTTTTTTTTTCTTACCATTTCTGGTTTATCTCTTGATTCCTGCCCAGAGAGTGACGAGGATCTAATTTTCTCCTTACAATGTCGCCCCTGAATCACTCTTGTAGGTCGCATGAGTAAAGGAAATAATCACCAAGTAAAGAATCTCTTAAATGTTAAACAAATTCTCCTTGTCAGCACCTTAGGAAAATGCATGGAGAACATTATGGAGAATTTGCATACTAATCTTGTGGTGTAAAGGGTTAAACCATCCTCCATACAAAAAAAAAAAAAAAAATTTTTTTCAGTCAAGTTGCATTGTGAGAGGTACATGTGGATTGAGAGAGAAATTGACATCAATATACTAACTTGTGCATTGTGCACGTCCAGCTATTTGCATACTAAAGAACCTCGGTTTAAATGGTGAGGTTACTTTCTCCATCAATCAAATTCTACTCTTGCCACTAGAACGTGATGAAAAAACGGAATTTTTTTTAGGAGATGAGAGTTAAAAATTGGTTGTCGATTTTGGTCTAAAAGCATCAGAACGGAGGGAGAGTGCGAGATAATAATAACAATGTACTTATATACAGTTGCTCAAGGGGCAACACTCTTGTGAACACTCTAGAGCTTTCTGGAAAGAAATCTCTAGTTGGTTACATGAATGCGGTATTGAAACGCTTCCTAATCTAACAGATCAAATTAATATTATGTTTGGCTTATTTGATGTCGATAATCACTTTATGCTTTTAAATCACATCATGTTAATAGCGAAGCAGACCATCTTTCTCTGCAGACAGAAATCTATTTCCCCAAGCTTTATTAGCTTCCTCGCGCACCTTAAAAAAATTTTTAGAATAAGAGAATACCTAGCTAAAGAAAAGAAAAAACTAAACCTGCACTTAATGAAATGGGAAAAACTTTTACAATCACTCAGTTGAAATAACTTTACCTTGGGTAGCCTTGTATTAATATTTTTGTTTATTTATTTATTTATTGACCTTATACAATTTTATTTACTTTATACTGCTGTAATTTTTTTTTTTTAAATGTAAAACGGAAAAACACAATAAAAAATATAAAAAAATATATATACAGTTGCGGCGCAGTCTCCATATGAATGGCCAGACTGCTTGAAGAATTGTATCAGGCTATTAAACTAGCAAATACCAAAACTTACAATACATTTAGCGCTTTGATCACCCGACGCCCAGTACAAGTGTTAGTAAAAGGTGAAATTTTTATTGTAATCTTTGCAGGTTTTGGTGTTGGGAGAGGAAAAGGTGCCCTGAGTGCAATAACTGAGGTATGTAAGGAAGGCATTCATGCTTCAGATATCCTCACCCGTGCCCTACTGTGGACGCTTTATTAAAACCTACCTTCGTGAGGTTGAGAGTTTTGTTAAACTCTTCCCGTCTCCATTAAGAGATTTTCCAATTTAAGGCAAAAACACAGTGTTATATAATAAATGTTTTGATGTGATATTATAAGTGTTATACAGTACAGGTATAGGTGTGTCAATCGTTGTGGCAAGAAAACCCTTTCAGTTTTGCGTAGATAACCTTTCAGTGTAAAATATGAGTTTCTATAGAAACTGTGGTGCTGCGTCGGTGGAAGAGCATAACAGGGTAAATTAGCCACCGCAAAGCTGACGTTTCGAGCGTTAGCCCTTGGTCTTCGCTCTCGCCATCTTTGGTCATTTTTTTTTTTTTTTTTTTTTTTTTACTTAAAACTTCTTAATTGAATGTATGGCAAGAAAAAGAAATAATAAAATGTAAAAAGCAATTGACTAGTTTCCACAGAGCATAGAGACCAAGCACTATCTGTCCAGATTAGGGCCGATGAAAAAATAGACAACAACAACAACAGCGAGGAAAGGACACTGATTATGAAAAAAAATTAATTTGCGGTACTTTTGAGTTTTGCATAAACTGACATTGTGTTAATTTCGTCCTTGTTCTTTTACCAGGCAAAGAACAGAGCTGTGAACTATCTTTACCATTTTGAACGCTGCGACAACCACACAAGTAAGTTTTCACCTCCATCGAAACCCTAAAAAGTTCCGACGTAAATGTATCTTTGATTGGTCACCTTTTTAAACAGATTTTGCGCAACAAATTGAGGATACCTCAAGATATAAAAGATACTGATTGCGTTCCACTCAAACATTTGCAAATGGAGCCGTCCAGTTGGGGGACACTTCTCACAAGCAGACATAGCTTTCGAGCAGGCCCTATTTATTAGCTGCAGGGCGCACGGGTTTCTCTGCGCGCGGGAAGATGTCAGACGAGTCGAGGAGAGGTTTGTCGGGAGATTTATCACGACTAGATCCCTTCCAGACTTCTCGCCGGCTAGTGCTCAAGGCTTACACTTTCACACTTGCGAAGAAACGTCTGTGCCGAAGTGCATATAATGAGGACCTGCACGGAAGCTAAAGCAGACACGATGTTTTGTTCCCAGCACCCTGGAAAGACAAACAACAACAACAACAACAATGGATTAATAATTATATCGTCCTGACTGTGGTGTGCTGTAATTTAACGTTTTCCTTTGACCTTCGTTGCAGTTTTTCATGACATGGAAACGAAGTATCACTGCACAAAAATAAACTTTTTCAGAAAGCCACGAGGTATCGTACAACTTAGTTTGAAAACCTAAATATTTTACTACTTAAGATCTTGGTGCTCTTTTCTCTAACGTTGCTTTGTATTTCCGAAGATCTGAGCCATAACATAATATTGTATCAGAGTACAGTGTGCGCGTATGCCTTTTTGATTCTCCTATTCGGTTAAATTTCTTTTTTGACGGACATAGTGAAAAGTAGAGAGAGCAGGTTGGCTGGTTGGTTTGGGGGTAAGGGATTTATTACTTTAGATTGTTAAAAATTGCTAACCAGAATGCCCTCCAAAATGCACAAAATGGCATTTGAGCGTCTCTAGATTAACGAGGTTACCTATTCTTGTTTGTTTGCGCTTTATTTTTTTTTTGGTTTTTGTTTATTGTTCGCCTTTGTTTTGTGCTCATGAGAAATGAAATTAAACGCACATCTGCTTTTAATGGCAATAGTGGCCCAGCGTCTTTCAAATATTTCTCATCGCCAACAAGCTTTCGCACTTAGAGGGATGATGTTAATTCAATTTGTATGTCTCTCCCAGGCTTTGGACTTCGCTGCCATCGAGCGATAAAAGAGATCGCAATACTCATCGGAATTGAAGACATGCGCTGTAAAGTGTACGGTGAGACGAACCCCATCAGCCTCGTTCGCGCGGTGTTCCAGGGACTGCTTAGTCAGGTAAATTTTTATCGGCGCGCAAGCCGTCGAGAATGAAAGGAACTTAGAGGGACCATCTAGTTGGAAAGTTCAGTTTTTGAATGGCATTCACGTGCTCAGCGGCAATGACCCTGGTGCATTAGTGCTGGTAGGACATTATTTTTAAAACAGTTTAAAGTGATCGTAAATTATTTTTCTCATTGACCAAATGCAACGCAGGCTGGGGTTGGCCGTTGGTAAAGGTCTATATCCTGTGCCAGGGCTTAGAGAGTGCGCGAAAAACCGCGAGAGTCAGGCAACGAAAAATTAACAAATAAATAATACTCAACTAGGGATCGACCGAAACATCATCAAGGCGCTCGCTGACGGCTACCCGGTCTAACTTTTATTTAGATTTTTTAAAATTATCATTATTATCAATTACCGTAATGATTATCATCATTTTTATCATAATGATATTTTGACGTTATCTCTGATCCATAACTGAACGTACTCGCGACAAGACTGATTCTATTAGATTAATCTATGTACAATATCGTTGCAGGAGACGCATCAGCAGCTTGCAGATCGCACAGGCTTTAATGTAGTGGAGTTCAGAGCTGAGTGTGGAAATAGGCCCATGATTGTGGCCTCACCAAGTGACGAGGCCCGAAACAAGGCTCTCAAAAAGAGATCTGAAAAAGCGGAGTACAACTTTAACGAGGTCTTCGATCCTTACAGAGGACTCCATCGACCTAAGAAAGTGGTTGACTTGTTTTAGTCTTCTACATTTGGAATGATTCAGAACCAGTAATGCGTGTGTTCGGTGTACAGGGAACCCTTCGATTTTTGACTGACGAGAATTCCCTCGATTCAGGAGAAAAGAGCGTTGTATCCACTCTTACTGTGAGACTGAGAGAAAATTATTCTCAACAAATTTTTACTGACATAGAAACGATACAGGGGGTTGTCGATTTAGGAGTGTAGGGAGAGAGCTAAGGAAGATGCTGGGGATAGGGGTTTCTTCGGGTTGTGGAGCATGTTAAGCAAATTGTCAAATCAAGAGGTCTTAGTTTGACTCTCGTTCTCCACTAAAGCCTCTTGATTTGACTGTGCCTTTGTTTGACTCCCAACCTCTCCCCCTCTTTCGAGCCCCGTCGACTCTGTTATCGTGTCCTTAATTTTCTTTTCCCTTATCTTAATCAAATAACTTTAGCTGATGAGGTTAGTTTCCCTCTAATAAAACAGGTCAAATTTTTAAAACATGTTCTTGTCTTTGTAACCGTGTTATTTGCATTACTGTATCTCATCGAAGGAGAGAACATATTCCTACAACGGAAAGCTGCCAAACTCTAGAACAAAAGTTTATACTTAAAATCGGCACTCTTGATCCCTACGGTATCAACGAACGCTCTTCATTCGGTATTTTCTTCCTCATTACAATATTCCCACCAATAGCGTAGCTCCATTTTCTGCATATAAACACTCAACTCGCAATTCCTCCGTTCACTCTTTCGAAGGGCAAACGTTCGAAACGTCACCTTTAAGAACTCTTTACGGTGGCCACTCTTCACGATCAACTCAGTTGATAAAATCGAATTATCTTGTTGTACTCCCAGTGTTCTATAGCACGTAGCCCGTTCATTCATAAATCGACACATTGAGTTGATACTGACGGTATTCCGCGCTTTCTGTCTTCCTGTCCATGTGTTTGGTCTTCTCATCATTTCTTTTTGTTTTATTTTGTTTTTTTGTCTTCCGTGGTACGGGTGATGGCATATTTGCAAGGAAGATATCGCGTCTTCAATAGTCCATTTTACAGTTCTGTGCTTGGTTGCCAAGCCTTTGAATAGGAATGAGGCTAAGGGTGACCTCATTATGATACAAGCTTTGCTGCCTTTCAAATGCAAATTACTTTGCCATCATGCTAACCAGAAACCAGTCTCTATAACAACAAGGTCACCTTCAGCCTCACTCCAAATCAAAGGCTTGGCATCAATCATTTTTGTTATTATCTTTTGAATTTCGTTATAAAACTTGAACAATGGAAGCTGCAAAATGAAATAATCGTCAACAAGAGATTATAGACAGCTCATAATAACTTTCCGTCAAGTAATTTCTCTCCGTTATTTGAGGGAAATATTTACTTTAAAACCTCTCGTTATCCCTACAATAACTTTACGCCTTGATTTTTATTCAAGCATACCTAATCATCCTCTTAGTAACGGTCACTAAAATATCCCGTTGAGCTACTGAAAGTCGATTCTCGTGTCTCAGAACTTTGGTCAGGTAGATTGAATTATTTAGCAGTATGTTTAGATACGCATGCGTCAAGCTTATGATCACTTTAACAATTGCTGGACAGGTGTGCCAAGAATCGAGTGAATCAAAGACTGCAAAACATCAACATTAGATTTCTACATTACCATCATTTTTCTTAACTTAACGCATTCTCCGACTGATTATTCAATTCCTTGAGGGTTTTTTCTCCTGCCATGGTCCATCCTGCTCAGAGTTGGATTTTAACGGTTTTACTCTGTAACTGGACACCCTTGATAATTTATGCAAAAGGTAAGGCATAAAGTTTACCCCTTAATTCCATTTTATTTTATTTGCTACCGTCGAACATACAACAAACGACAAGTGAGATTCTTTTCCGAAGTGCAAAAAAGTCAGAAAGAGAAATCATTTCATAACTAGAAAAATAGTTTTTTTTACAGTCCCAAACCATATCTTGTATGTTTAAGAAGTGATATCTGCTAAACTTTTCTGCGGCACTTGGTCAAAATATTGACCATTGCAGCTGTTAAATTTCTTGAGCAAACTTTGCCCGACTATTTACATTGACAATCCGGGAAAGAAATTCGCGAATGGAGCTTTTTCAATGGCATACATGGCCCCTATATTTAGAAAATTCACTATAATGTTTAGGAAAATATCAAGGTCTAATCAAATTTTAATCTCGTTACAATGTGATGAAACTAAAAGTAATTATATGATGCAGAGCGCATTAAGCGAGTTAGATTACGGGGAAAGAACCAAAACTGTGAAATTCTCAGTTTGCTAAATAAAATTCATTATTTTTAGAACAATTATCAAAGAAAAAATTAAATCATTCAAAGAATCTCGGAAAGCGCTCGACAGTTCACTAACACCATTTACTCGATTTTATTAAGATTACCCTCGGTCTATTTTGTCAATTCAAGAGTGTATGGTTAATGTTGTGTCACAGATGGCGAGTTTTGATTGGTTATGAAAGCCTGACGAACTCAAACAGCTGTTGAGCATTCGAACACATTTAAACAAAACCAATATCGAACAAAGAAAGATATCAATTTTTAAAGTTAAAAAAAATGCCTCAGGCGTCAATTGGCTGAAACAGAACAATGCCAATAATATATGTATTGATTCTTACGCTTCCTGTTTTCTTCAGTGAAACATCCATCTGATCAAAATTAGAATAAAAAACTAAAAGCAGAAAAATGAATTGATAAATGATGATATATAATTCAAATATGCATATTCATTACAGGACGCGTGAAAGGAAATCAAATACACTTAATCACAATTCAAGTCTAGGAATAAGTTTTAAATTGATACAAAAGATAACCGAAATGAGTGACGACTTTACTCACTAGGAAACTGATGTATCATTTTCATAATCGATCAATGATATGCCTGAGTCGCTGAACAGAGCTCTCTTTTCTGTTTGATATCAATGACCGTCTCCTAAACGCCACAGGACTATATGAACCGCCTCTTCCCCCAATGGTTCGACAGAGAGTGATCCTCAAAGAAACGTTTCATTATCTACATGCACCTTCCATTGGAACACTTGCAGCATACGATGTTTTTGACTGCACCTTTGAATGCCTTAGCAATCCTCTATGTTCTTCTTTGAACCTGGCTTCCTCCAAAAGAGCCGACGGTACATTATTGTGTGAGTTCTTGTCTTCCGACAGATACAGAAATCCGAAGGAATACAGAAGAAACCAGAGTTCGCACCACTTATATTTTAAGGTTAGTTTTATTGTTGAGGTTGTTTCGTGGACATTCCTTTTTACATTCCTCGCTCATTTCTATCATAGACATTAACAATGTAATTCAGTTAAATATATCAACACACCCTTTCAGTGTCGCTAATTTACTCCTCCTTCAAGCTTTAGAAATCTTGTATTATCTGCGCTCTGAATATTTATTACATCAATTTTGAAATCACTGGCGATCCTTACAATCTGATTGGCTCTCATCCGTGTGATTTATTAACGAGACCTTTACTAGAAGACAAAAACCAATCAGATTTCAAGGCTAACCAATCAGATTAGAGAAAAATGAAAGACAGCTTTTGTAACTTTTTATACAAATCAGCTTAGTACTGGATCAATAACATATTTGTACAGACTAAAAAAATCCTTATTTGATTGACTAAATTGTTGCGAGTTAATAATGGTGTGTCAAGTGGTAATTGAACTTCGTGACGTATATTTCTGGTCTGAAATCGTAATCGTGATTTTAAATCACTCGAACGATTTCAGACCAAATTGCACCCCACTCAGTTCAATTGCAATTATTAATTATTTCATGTTTATATCGTTTCAGTCGCCTTGTTCATCGTATCCTTGCCAGAATGCAGGTGTTTGTGGGACAAACTATCGATATAATACGTTTGAATGCTTCTGTGAGAACGGTTTCACTGGAAAGTATTGCGAGAAAGGTAACACTGTTGAGCATATAAGTAATGAATACATAACGATCTCACTTCCCTCTAACTTTAAGAATTTGACTAAAAAAATCCTTAGCCACATGCGAAGCTAAGCAATTAATTTGAATGTGATATTGTTAGCCCAAAGATGTGCTTTTGTGATCAGGTTTCTTTTAACCAGTTTCCATCTGATGCAGCTGCTAACTTGTGATTTTTTTTTATTTTCTTAAAGCACTGAGGTCTTGTAAAGATATATATGACGCACACAAGTAAGTAGCGCGCGTTTTTATAATCATTACAGAAACGGCAAAAGTGAGGCAATTATCACAATACCATACAATATCATCATCATTATCATAATTATAATTATTATCATGATCAGTACTATTAATTTTATTATAATTGCTATTACTGTCATTATCGATTTAGTTATTACTCTTAGTATTACCAATGTAAGTTTGTATCACTTTAAAAACTCAGTGTCCGTGACAAGCTTAACGTGAGTCAGTTGGTCACTCTGATCATAAGCGAGAAACCGGTCTCTGTTCTTTGTCACATGGGAGATTTTGGATGTGGAGATGGAGGATGGACGCCGGTCATGAAGATTGACGGCAACAAGGTTTGAGTTTTTCTCATCTTTTTTTCTTTTCATCAAAAAATTTCCAAATCAATATGGCCAACATGTCAGAGTGCTTCCATCATGACTCTGAGTCTGAATGATGAGAAACCTGCACCGAGTGAGTCGATCTGAAATTAAAGTAACGCTGCAAAATAAATTTAAATATTTCGTTTTGAGAAGTAATAACCTAGCTTTTTCAAGAATCTCCGCAAATAGAGTTGCACTTTCCGAAAAATGAGCTTTTTTATGATCAGTGGTACGTTTAAGTCAGTGAAAGTGTCCCCGTTTCGACAATTTGAGCAAAACTCATACGCAAGTTGCTGAAATGTCAGACTGTTTCTCTTGGGATATGTCCCTTATTGTTTTGAGAATCACATCCGTTCAGATTAGAATAAAATATACCCACGTGTGCTACTCGATCACAGTTCACATCTCTTTAAGCCTCAAGATTCTAGACCCAAAAGATGAAATGATTCCTCCTGGAGGAGTAACTCGGTCAGAGAAATATTGATTTACCCGAAATTTCAACCTTACCCAACATTATTATGTGTTATTCCTTAACGATTTCGATGAACCTTCTAAGGTTTTCGATCGGACGAAACGATCAAACGTTGTTCTTTGAAACAAGATTAGATTATAATTTTAAAGTTTTGTATTTCTGAACAATGTAAAAAACATTAACGAGTGAAATCTCATTCATATGCAGGACACCTTTCAATTTAACAAATCTTATTGGACTGATGAAAACGAATACAATCCTTCTGGAGGGGAAACTGGATTTGACCAACAGGAAACAAAGCTACCCACCTACTGGAACACATCCTTCTCCAAGATCTGTCTCGGTATGATGTCCCACCAGAAGCTCAGGTTCATTGTCATCAACAAGAAAGCTGACTCTCTGTATTCACTGATCGCTGACGGAAAATATCGCAATACATCCCTGGGTCGTGAAACGGGGAAGAAATTACTTGGTGATCAAGCCTCTTTACAGCTCAATTGTAATATGGAAGGGTTCAACGCAGTATGTCATGATCGCAAAGAATCCGCAAGGATTGGCATCGTGACAAATAACGAAGATGAATGCTATTCGTGTGATTCCAGGCTCGGGTTTGGTACAAAAGGAAAAATTGATAACACCTGTGGAAACGTGGCTAAGCACCAGGCGGATAATGGAGACAAAGACATCAAAGCCATGGGTTACGTACTGGTTCAGTGAATGGAGTTTGGATGAGTAATCAGATTTGCCTTACAACGATGTTGCGGTTATAAGGACATTCTTCTTTCACTTGAACCCCATTTACACCAGCAAAACGCGTTTGGTTAGAGCGGTTTCACTGAAAGAAACTCAGGGAAAGAAACCGTGAAAAAATACATTTTTCATAGCATTAAGATGTCATCAACTAGTATTTGCAATGCCTTAAATTTGAATTCAACAGACATTGGTTTACGTAGCTTCTACGAAGAAATAGCTATAGAACATGTTTAAGCTTTGGAAGGAAAGGGGCACTAGTTTATCATGGTAATTGGCTGTAAGACTTTAAATTGTGCTTCTCACGTCATGATTACTAAATAGTTATAAGAGCGTGTGGAGTCCAAATCGGTCTGTTATCATACGATTGATTTACCAAATCGAAGAAAAGGGAAGTGGGAGTCCGATATGTTAATCACAAGCATGATTACTGACTGCATCGGACGAAACGAAGTCCTGTTACCAATTTATTATTACCATTGCAATTTCAGACAAAGAAACAAATTGTTTTCACGGAACGGAAAGCTCATAATACCAATCTTTAAATACCTTTGCCTAATACACTCTAAAAAGCCCATGAAATCAGCTACCTTTACAATTATGTAAATTGCCATGGTTGATGTAGAGTGATATACTTTGTGATTAAGGAATTGTATTTTAGTATACTCAATGTGATTGGCTGCGTAATTATCCGAGAAAAGGTGCCCAATTTTTATAATTTATGAAAAATGAGGCGGTTTATCCACCAATCATATTCTAGGAAATTGGAATGGTTATAATTAATTGAAGATTATGCAAAAGTGATCAGAAATAGAAGCACTCTTGGCATCTATTACAGGGTGGCCGAGTGGTTAGGGGCGCTGGGTTTGTCATAATTATGTTGGTCCCAGGTTAAAACTTTCCACCTTGCTACTCACCGGATTTTTTCTCGATTTCCTTAATTTGAACTATTTGCCTGCACTTTGTATATAGTCACAGGTCTGCTAAGGAAAATTTGGATTTTTAAAATACTTTGTTTATTTGCAATGTTAGTTTCCATTTGGTTCGTATTGGCTTTGAAAGGCCCTTTAGGAGAAGTGGTTAATCAAGTATACATATAGACATTCTTTGTTCAACTAAGTCATGAATTATTTATTAAATTTAAGAGGCTGTGCTCACTAAATCATTCTAAATCACTAAATCCTTGAGTTCATTCTAAATCACAAGGATAAGTTAGACAGTGTTTGACGTAATCGAAGGGACGTGCTTAGTTTACAACGGCAAACATAAGAGGCTGGAGAGGCGAGAAGGCATCGACAGGGAAAATGTCTCCATATCAATAGACAAAACAAAGTCTTTACGTTGAACACGCAATGAGCCAAGTTTCAACAGACTCAATATCAAGCGCTTCGACAAGCGCTTTGCATTTTGGGTAATGGATGTCTGTGACCCACGAGATCAAGCCGTATATCTTTGATGAGAAACATCTGCACAAAGTTTTAACCTTAAGTTGTTACCAAAAGTGGTTTGTTAGTGGTGTGGTGGTATTATTTTTCCACTTTTCCCTAGGGGTTACGAGTTGTAATAAAATCTATGACAAAAGAGTAAAATAAATATGGAAGTACTTTTAAGTTTACATATGTTTTGTTCGCATGCCATTAGTTTAAACATGTCACGTGATTGGAAGTGTGATGGAAGTGTCCTTTTCGAAGTCAATTAAAGTTGGGCAGCTTTTGCCGTTGTTTTTATTTGTTCGTGAAAAATATCTGAGACTCGTTTCGCATCAAATGTAGCTTAATTTTTGTTAATCGCAATTCAATTGATGGATATCGACGAATAAGCAATTAATTTCCTAAGCCTATTTCAAATACAGTGAGGTGATCTGGTTTTTATGAACTGAGTTGATGATATAAATTGGCCACCGTAAAGAGTTTTACAGCTGACGTTTCGAGAACTTGTCTATTCACTTCACATATATGATTTTCATATACTTACACTCACCACCTCGCGGGTTTATTTGTAACCAACATAATGACCAGAGCGCTTCACTGGTATCGCAGAGGTCATGGGTTTAAATCCCTGGTACAGGAGTATATTTTTTTTTCAGGGCTTATTTTCATTACCACTTAAGTCGTGTTCTTAACTGCGAGGAACAAAACAATATTGGTTCTGAGTGAGTATTTCATACATTACTTGGGACAAACAATTTCTGAATAAAAACCTTCGGAACATCTTCATATCTGAAGTTTTTTTTTTTTTTTTTCGGTAGAGGTGAGGATGGCTTTCGCAGTGCGGCCGTGGAGGTAAGACGTGTCGACAAAGCTAGAGATGATTATCTAAATTGCTACTGTTATCAAACCCTTCATGAACTGATAGACCTTATAAATTAAGGGGAAGGAATGAAGAATGAAAAAGGACGACGACACCGAGCACGTGGATCGTCTTGACGTAATGAATGCAAAAGTAGACGAACTTCTTGCAGCTTGCGGGGAAATTGAATTACTAAAGAACGAAATAAGTGAACTGAGATAAGAATTGAAAAGTTTGAAGGATTCATTGGAGTATGCTGAGAAGGCGATTGAACGCCTTAAAGAAAAAAATGGTGGAACAACCAAGACAAATAAATAAAACAGTGAAGACATTGAATTCTTTGACGCTGATATCGGTGCCCTGAACCGAAGAAAGATCAACTTAGAAGCCTACAGGCGACGCGAGAACATAAAAATCTTCAACGTCAAAGAAGAATCAGGGGAAAACACAGAGGAACTGATAAGAAAGCTGTTTGTCACGAAATTGCAAATTCCGAACAAACATGTTAAAACATTTTCGCTTTGAAAGAGTACATCGGATTCCGAGTGAGGCACCAGATCGGAGGTCAAGCCGCCCAAGACCAGTGATTGCAAGGTTTAGCTTCTACCTAAGAGAAGGACTTTGTTCGTTTATTCTATAAGAACTTGAAAGGAACTGATATTGGAATAGTAGACGACCTCCCAAAGAGAGATTAAAGAAATCCATAAAAGGCTCTACCCTGTTTTAAAGAAGGCGAAACGGGTGCCGCAAAGAGCTTACTTCAATTTCCACGAACTAATTATTAATGGACATATTTACAAAGGAAAGGAAACCAAGAATCTCCCCTACTAAGGTAACATCATGAATAATGTTTAAGTCCCATAAAAGGTTTTGATTGAGGTCAGAAACCAGACTTTCTGTTTAAATATGTAATTTTGTGTGTCTGTTTTGTTTCTCACCTGTACGTTTAAATTCTGTTTGGAGGAGAATAAAAAAAATTTCTTTACTCCATACTTTAGAAGAATATGCGTGCCCATCCAGATAAAATCTCGGGTTACCAAGAGATTTTACAAACTAAAAAACGATCATAGACGGCAAACTTTAAATTAATTCTCTTAAACGTAAGGAGCATAAATAATTTTCACAAACGTTGATCTATGTTCACATAGTGTCGTAAAAGAAATGCAGATATTCTATTCCTTCAAGAGACGCACTCAAGTCAGAAAAACAATGGATAAACGAGTGGGTTGGGAAATTTTATTATTCACATGGAAGGCTAAATTCTTGTGGAGTTATGGTGTTGATTAGCAATAGATTAAATTTCAGAATTCATAAGACTATCGCAGATCCCTCGGGGCGTTTCATTGCTCTAAAAGTAGAAATTAATGACAAAGTTTATATCTACATAAACATTTATGCACCAAACAAAGACAACGTAATGTGCAAACTTTTCAAAAAATTACATAAAATGTTGCAAGCAGAAAATTTAGATTGTGAAGAAAATATTATTTGTGGATGAGATTTTAATTGCTCTCTAAATCAAAAGCTTGATAAAAAGGATGGTGTAATGCAATGTTATAAATAATGACTAAGCATCAGAAAATTTACGTTGGAGCCAGGGAGACCCCCTCTCTCCGTATCTCTTTATCTTGGCCTTAAAAATCTTGGCAATTTCAATTCGAGAAAATCCTGAAATACAAAGAATTAAAAATCGCAAACTTGTACAATATGCAGACAATACCACTGCTGTACTATCAAATCTTAATTCTGCTAACGCATTATTTCAACAACTGGATATATTTAAAAATTCATGTGGACTCGAATTCAACAGTTCAAAAACAGAATCTCAATCATCCTACTAGTCGCGATAACTAAAATATCCCGTTGAACTAATGAATTTAGATTTTCGCGTCTCAGAGCCTTGATCGAGTGCATTGAATTATTTAGCAGTATGCTTAGATACGCACGCGTCAAGCTTCTGATCGCGAGAACAATTGCTGGACAGGTGTGCCAAGAATCGCGTAAATCAAACACTGCAAAATATCAGCATTAGATTCTTGTTCGACTATCATTTTTCTTAACTTAACGCACTCTTCGACTGATTATTCAATTCCTTGAAGGTCTTTTCTTCTGCCATGGTCCATCTTGCTCAGAGTTGGTTTTTAACGGTTTTAATTTGTAACTGGATCCCCTTGATAATTTGTGCAAAAGGTAAGACATAAATTTTATTCCTTCATTTCATATTTCATTTGCTATCGTCGAACATACAACAATCGACTAGTGAGATTCTTTTCTGAAGAGCAAAAAAGTGGAAGAAAAAAATATATATATAGCACACGTTTTTAAAATCATTTCATAACTAGAAAAAAGTTATTTTATATCAGTCCCAAACCATGTCTTGTATGCTAAAAAAGTGATGTCTGCCACACTTTTCTGCGGCACCTTGTCAAAATATCAACCATCGTAACTGTTAAATTTCATAAGCAAATTTTGCCCGATTATGCACGTTGAGAATCCAGAAAAGAAATTTCACGAATAAAGCTTTCTCAATGGCTTACATGGCCCCTATACTAAGAAAATTCGCTTTAATGTCTAGCAAAATATCATGGTAACTAATCAAATTTTAATCTCGTTACATTGTCATACAATGCAGAGCACGGTTATTGAGTAAGTTATATTAAGGGCAAAGAACCAAAAGTCTAAAATTCTCAGTTCGCTAAATAAAATTCATAATTTTTATAGCGATTATTAAAGGAAAAATTAAAATAATTCAAAGAATCTCAGAGAGCGCTTGACAGTTCACTGACACCATTTCCTCGACTTTTAATTAAGATACCCAGTCTATTTTTTCAATTCAAGAGAGTATGGTAAATGTTATTGTTTCACAGTTCGCGATTCTTGATTAGTTTTCAAAGCTTGACGAACTCAACCAGCTGCTGAGCATTTGAAAGGATTAAAACAAAACCAACACCGATGAAATAAAGAAATCAATTTTAGAGAACTAAAATGAAAAAGGTAGGAGGTGAACTTTGTTCTTTGCCTCACGATAGTCACTTTTGATGTTGATCGCGATGTTGCGATCAATATCAAAAGTGACTCTATCGTGAGACAAACGAACGAGGTTCATCTCCTATCTTACACCACGAGGAACAATAAACACACAATTTATTACATTAAATGACAAAGGCCCCGGGCGTCAATTGGCTAGAAAAGAACAAGAGCAATTAATTATAAATTTATTGATTCTTAAACTTCCTTTTTTTCTTCAATGAAATATCCATCTGATCAAAGTTAGACTAAAAAATAAAAGCAGAAAAATTAGTTGATAAATGGTTATACAGTTCAAAATGACTAAAATGAAACACGCATGATTCCCTGTAACTCTGTGGTTCGTGCTTACGCACTCGTCAGACAGATTTTCGCTGTATTTCGCTTTACACTCATGTGTAGAACGACAGCATTTGCTACAATTTCCCACAATTAAATGGTTAATTTCATATTCACATTTACACTTTATTGCAATGACAGATTTGATAAAAGGACATGAGAAAGGAATCAAACATACTCAAGCACAATTCAAGTCTAAGAATAATTTTTTTTTAATTGATACCAAAGAAAACCGAAATGAATGACGACTTTACTCATAAAGAAACTGATGTATCAGTTTCATAATCGATCAATGATATGCCTGAGTCTCTGAAAAGAGCTCTCTTTTCTCTTTTATATCACTGAACGTGTCCTAAACGCCACAGAACTATATAAACCGCCTGAAAGACAAACCGCCATATCTCTTCCCCCAATGGTTCGACAGAGAGTGATCCTCAAAGAAACGTTTCATTATCTATATACACCTTCCATTGGATCACTTGCAGCACACGATGTTTTTGACTGCACCTTTGAATGCCTCAGTAATCCTCTATGTTCTTCTTTGAACCTGGCTTCCTCCAAAAGAGCAGACGGTACATTATTGTGTGAGTTCTTGTCTTCCGACAGATACAGAAATCCGAAGGAATACAGAAGAAACCAGAGTTCGCATCACTTATATTTTAAGGTTAATATTATTGTTGGGGTATTTTCATGGACATTCCTTTTTATTTTTTTTCGCTCATTTCTTAATGATGGATGTATTAAGTGATAATCGAACTCCGTGGCGTGCAAGTTTGGTCTAAAATCGTACTTGTGATTTCTAATCACTCGCATGATTTCGGACCAAATTGCACCCCACTCAATTCAATAGCTATTATTAATAATAGTTGTATTAAGTGGTTATGAGCTTCGTGTCGTGCAATTTTGGTCTGAAATCTTATTCAATGATTATGATTATGATTTCAAATCACTCGAATGATTTCAGACCAAAATTACACACCCCTTTTCAGTTTAATTACCATTATTAATTATTTCATGCTTATATCGTTTCAGTCACCTTGCTCATCGTATCCTTGCCAGAATGCAGGCGCTTGTGAGACAAACTATACAAATAATACTTTTAAATGCATCTGTGAGAATGGTTTCACTGGAGAGTACTGCGAGAAAGGTAACACTGTTAAGCATATAAAAATTAGTACGTAGCGATCTTACTAACTTTAAGATTTTGAGTAAAAAAAAATAACATTCGAAGCTAGCAATTCATTTGAATGTGATATTGTTAACCCAAAGGCATGCTTTTTTATCAGGTTTCTCATAACTGGTTTCCATCTGATGCAGCTGCTAACTTATGCATTTTTCATTTCTTAAAGCACTGAAGTCTTGTAAAGAAATATATGCCGCACACAAGTAAGTAACGTGCGTTTTCATAATCATTACAGAAACGGCAAAAGTGGGACAATTATCACTATGCCATGCAACATCGCTTTCAATATCATAATTATAATCTTTGACATGATCATTACTAACAATTTTTTTCATTATTGCTATCATTGTCATTATCAATGTAATTAGTACTATTAGTATTACCATTATAAGTTTGAATTACTTTAAAAAAATTAGTGTCCGCGACAGGCTTAACGTGAGTCAGTTTGCTACTCTGGTCATAAGCGAGAAACCAGTCTCTCTTCTTTGTCACATGGGAGATTTTGGATGTGGTGATGGAGGATGGACGCCGGTCATGAAGATTGACGGCAACAAGGTTTGAGTTTTCCTCTTTTTTTTTTTTTTCTTTTTTTTTTTTTTTCATCAAAAGTAATTGCCAAAGCATTATGGCCAACATGTTAGAGTGCGTCCATCAAAACATGAATAATGAGAAACCTGCACCGAGTGGGTCGATCTGAAATTAAAGCAACGCTGGAATAAATTTGAATATTTCGTTTTGAGAAGTAATAGCCTAACTTTTTCTAGATAATCCTTTTAAGGTTCGTTCGAAATGATCAGCCGTATTTCTTTGAAACAAGATAAGATTATAGTTTTAGAATTTTGTATTCCTGAACAATGTAGAAAACATGAACGAATGAGTTCTCATTCTTATACAGGACACCTTTCACTTTGGCAAATCTTTTTGGACTGATGAAAAGGAATACAATCCTTTTGGAGGTGAAACTGGGTTTGACCAGCAAGAAACAAAGCTACCCAGTTATTGGAACACATCCTTCTCCAAGATCTGTCTCGGCATGATGTTCGACCAGCAGCTCAGGTTCATTGTCATCTCAAAGCAAGCCGACTCTCTGTATTCACTGATCGCTGACGGAAAATATCGCAGTACATCCCTGGGTCGTGACACGTGGAAGAAATTACTTGGTGATCATGCCTCTTTACAGCTCAATTGTAATAAGGAAGGGTTCAACATAGAATGTCATAATAGCGAGGCATCTGCAAGGATTGGCATTGTGACAAATAACGAAGATTCCTGCCATTCGTGTGACTCCAGGCTCGGGTTTGGCACAAAAGGAAGAATTGATGCCAAAAACACTTGTGGAAACGTGGCTCTGACTATGCACAAGGCAGATAATGGAGACAAACGCATCAAAGCCATGGGTTACGTATTGGTTCAATGAATGGAGTTTACATTACTGATCAAATTTGTCTTACAACGCTGTTGCAGTTATAAGGATAATCTGCTTTCACTTGAACCCCATTCACACCGGCAAAACATGTTTAGTTAAAGCGGTTTAACTGGAAGAAATTCAGAGACAGAGAACCCCCCAAAAACTAGTTTTTTTTTTATAAGATTAAGATGTCACATACTTCTATGTTCAGTGCGCTAAATTTGAAGTCAACCGACATTAGTTTAATTAGCTTTTATGAAGAAAAATTTAAACCGTGATTAACAAAACAGCTTTAGAACATGTTTAAGCTCTGGTGTGAAAGGGTCATTAGTTTATCTTGGTGAGTGATTGTAAGACTTTAAATTGTGCGTCTCACGTCATGATTACTAAATAATAGGTCCAATGAGTATACTCAATGTGATTGGCCGATGTAACTATCCAAGAAAAGGTGTCCAATTTAAACCATTCGTCCGTTTACAACTCTTCACAATAATTTATGTGAAATAAGGCGGTTTATCCACCAATCATATTCGAGGAAATTGAGATGGTTATAATTAACTGAGGATTATGCAAATTCGTCAGAAGTAGAGGCACTCTCGTTATCTATTACAGGGTGGCCGAGTGGTTAGGGGCTCTGGGCTTGTGATATGTTGGTTCCTGGCTCAAGCCTTTCGCCTTGCTACTAACTGGATTTTTTCTCGGTTGCCTTAAGCTCTATGGCTGCGCTTTGTATATAGTCATTGGTCTGCTCAAGAAAGTTGGGATTTTTTAAATATTTTATTTATTGACAATGTTTGTTTCCAATTGGTTCGTACTGGCTTTGAAAGTATGCATACATACATTCTTTTTCCATACAAGTTATGAGTTATTTACTAAATTTAAGAGGCTGTGCGCATTAATCTGTTAAAAAAATGTAATAAAATTTGAATGCGACGGGATAAGCCCATATCGTAAAAAGAAATCACGCAAGTGTTGTAGCAACAAAGTTTTCTTTAATTTTAATTTCCTTGGGAAATAATCAATGGATAGCTATATTGTTAACTTTTTATCTTTGGGCCATTCATTTGAATTACTTGCCCTAACTTTACTTCAAGAGAAAAAAAAGAAACATTCTCGAATAAAAAACTCAAAGACATAGACAAAATTGTACCGAGTAAGGGAACTTCCTTTGACGAGTTTTCCTTTATAACGTATTTTGATGAATTGTCACTTTTTCTTGACAGAGAGTGAGTTCACAGGCACCTAGGTCGCTCTTTGGAGATCGTGAATTAGACTTCTAAAGAGTGCAAATAATTCTCTTCGCGAGAATATTTGATGGATTTAAAACCAATTGTCTGTATTTCTATTATTAGTTTCCAAATTACCCTAGAAAAACCCATTCGATATTAAGAGTTCATTCCAAATCACAAGGACAAGTTAGACAATAGTTGACGCAATCGAAGGGACTTGTTTAGTTTAGAGCCATGGTATCAGTTAGTTCGGATATTCAGAATAACTGACTGTAACAGCATCCTTGGAAGACCACAATAAATTCTTCTACATGACAAGACAGGTGTATCTGCCTTTTATTTTTCACTTCTATACAATGCAATGGAATTAAGGACCCCAAAGGCATATCTCCTTTTGAAACTTCCTTAGTTGTTTCCGTCAAATCTCCCCTCCCTTCTCTCCCCTCGCCCCGGTTGACAAGTAACGGTGTTTGAGATTAATGTTTAACGAACTTATCAATTCCCGGCTGAGGTTCCATGGCAATTTTCTAGCAAGAGACAAATTATCTTGTTAGCTCAGAAGCCAAGAAAACTTCTGCTGAACCTTAATTAATGAAAGATGGAAAGCTGAATGATTATTGGATTTCAACGAGTTCTTGGGACAGCCTAGAAATACTCTTTGAATCATTATTGTTATTACTATGGGCAAATTTTCAACAGGTACCTAACAATGATTATCATATTATGACACCCTCGGCCAATTAGCTCTGAAGGCACCTGACAATCATGACACTGGCATCAACCTTTTATTAGAAAGTTGCAATTAGTTGATGTTATGGAAAGGAAGAAGACTAATTACTTCTTTTCCTCAAGTCGAAAAAATTAATAACAAAAATATGAAAAACATCCACATCGAAGACGACGATATTAACTCTTTAGGCCTAAGTAATAACATATGTTTTAGTGTTTTCAAAGAAGAAAGACGTTGAGTTTGCAAAACTACGCATCTTGGACGTTGTGCTCTCTGGTGGGAAGCAGAGGGTTTTAGGGCGAGAGACAGCTCTTCTTTCATTATGCAAAACCAACTGTTTGTTTGGGATTTCAGTGCAGCTGTATCTTATTGGAAGTTTATTCTTGCTAAATTTATTCCTGTCATTGTTCCTGTTCCTATTGTTAAATTTTTCCCTTTGGAAAAATTTATCAATTTTCCCCGAATATCGATTGCAAACAATTTACGAGCACTTCGCATTGATAACATTATCATTTTAATTAAAGCGAGAACTTTATTAGAAAAAATTATTTCAAATATTCCGCAAATATAGCTAGGGAAGAAGACGGAGAAGCGTAAAAGAAAAAAAAAACCCATTACAAGAATAAACAGGAATACTGGAACCACTATATTTGTTAACTTGAAACGGCATCTGATGGTTTCACTAAATATAACACGGACACAACATAATGTTTACATAGTTTGCTATCTATGTTTGGGGCCAGGGAAAACCTGATAATACAAAGACGTGTAAAGCCAGAGAATCGAAATGTTATATCCAAAATACGGATTGAGTAGACAAAAGAGAATATAAGAGGGAGAGAAAAAAAGAACAAAAGGAAAAAAACGAAAGATAAAAAAAGAGAGAAAAATATTGAGATAATAATGAGAGCTTTTGACGGTTCACAGTTCTTATTTACTTAGAAGAAATTAAGTATCGATGACAAAGAAGACATGATAAGACTTTAATTACTTGTGGAGCTGAGCATAGTTTAAACACACCAGTCGTAAAAATCATTTGCGCCATGCTTACCGTTCGTATCTGTATGATTCTATCATGCCCAATGGTGATCAAGTCTATGACATCAAAAGGTAATTTCAAGCAAATTTATTCTCACCTACAGCAATGTAGTTTATCAGTTCCTTTGTACGGGTCAATAAGTCGTTTTTACTTACAGCTCAGTCCGCTCATTTTAACTGCCGGCTTATTTTGGACTCTCTTATATTTTCTTGACTTTCTTGTGGGGTTTGTTGGCGAAAAAGGCATATTGATTCGTCCAAATTGATGTAAAACCATCGATAAAAAACACTAGAGTTATGAGTAGGATTATAATTATTAACAAAAAGATGATCAATTGCTTTCCTTTAAAACGATCTAGTGTGACACTGACATTTGCATTTTTTCCCCTCTCTTCAAAAAGATAAGGATAATCTACTTGGCTATAAATGCTTCTTAATCTCTGACATGATTGGAAGTTTTCGTTTTAGCTTCTTTCTTAAGCATTCGAGAAAGTGTGCTAGCCGAAAAACTGAAGGCTCTAAGTCGATCTGTGGGTGATCATGATGTACAAGAAAGCTCGCAACGCTTCTAATTTACAGAACGTCGAGTAGTTATGCTTTCAGCGAAATAGATATGCGTCATTGACCTAACGTGAGGGAAAGGTGGCTGGATATCGGCCGAGACAAAGTCAATGTCCATAAAAACGCAAAATTAGAACAAGGCTTGTGGGATTTAGAACATCGGAAAAAGAAAAAGATTCCACCTCAATAAGAATCAAGTATGATTTGTGTATTTTCGAACGTTGGGAAAGAAAGCCAACAGTGATGGCGCTTGCACGTTTTTTATTCAACAACTTATAAAATCAAGGGATTAAATGGGTTACTTTGTACTTTTAAAAAGACTGAATCAGAGGAAATTCAGTTCTTGCTCGGTGAGACTCCTTGTTTTCTGAGGGACAAAATCGCTTCCATGCTTTGATATCGCTTTGTTTTTTTATTTTATTTTATTTTGTTATTTTCCACTCTTTGTAGCACAATTGCCTTAAAGTGATTGCTCATGTTTTCTTTGTTTGCTTGTCCTCTGCTGTTTGTTTGTTTGTTTTTTTTTGCGACTCCATTGCCGAAATTGTCGAAGACAAACTGCGAACTTTGTAGGTTCTCTCCAGGCAATTTTTTATTGCGCAGGACCAAAGAGGCCAATTTCAAGCGGGAGAGATTGGCCTGTCTTGCCTACTCGGCTAGCCAATCAGAACACCGGATTAGCTTGATATTACCCATGGGTGTTGCCAGCTATATTATAAGTTCAGATTCACAAAGTCGTTAATTCATTTCCATTACATTCTCAACTTTGAAGACTTCTCTGAAGCAGACCAATGCCGTCAGTTGAAATTCCGGCCTGAAAAAGCATTTGACAGCAAACGCTTAATAAACCACCTGGTTCGCATCACTGAAGTCATGGTAATGGAGTTCTGTGAAACAATGTGTTATATGGAACCCAACTGCGTCAGTATCAATATTGATAAACGAGTGGATGGAAAAGGAAAGTACAAATGTGAATTGAATAATGTTACTCACGAAGGTCACAATCACGAACTGATAGAAAACGGAAATTATTTTTACCATGCAGCTGAGGCAAGTAAATTGTCTATGTAACCTCATTTACAGTGTGTACATTTTTTTTTTGACAGATATACGGTGCAGGCTTACACGTAGGGTTACCCTATATATTTAGGCTTTGTAAATTTTGTTTGTGAATTTATACCTCTACTGAACATCACTGTCATTGCAAGTTAACAAGTGGTACCTCGCCGCCTCAAAAGACATAATTGTATTACTGAAAAGTTTACTTTATTCCCCTCGGGTCAGAGCGCTTGTGTAAACAACCCATGCAAGAACAACGCCACTTGTCAAAGCGGTTTTACCGACAAAGGATATCACTGTTTGTGTACTGCTGGATTTAAGGGCTCGACATGTGATGAAGGTGAAATGTTCTCTTATTATCTATTTTACCTGGTGCTATACTACCTCTACGTTTACGTGTATGGGCAGAAATGTTAAGAATACCCTTTCTTCCCCCTAAATGCATCCTCTTCTGCCTTTCAGATACAGATGAATGTGCTATCTGTACATATTTTTATGCGCTATCTATATATTTTTCGACTGCTTCTTATTTTTAAATGAGAAACAAGAATATCAAGCAATTTCATTCCTCAATAGGACGTTAACAATTTTCTTCGATTAACTTTTGGAATACCTTTTCAGATATCGATGAATGTACTATTGGAAATCACGACTGTGGTACCAATGCCGTGTGCAACAACACCAAGGGATCGTACAATTGCACATGCATAACTGATTATTTGGGAGATGGAAAGAAATGCATTAGAAAGGGTGACCCTTTATGCAAGATACACCTTAGCTCCACCTTTTTAATTATTTATTAAGTCTATAAGCGTAAAAAATCACTGTCACTTATATATATAGTTTCCAAAGACGGACGTTATCATGATTATCAAAAAATTGCAGACTAACGCTAGCGAAGCGAACGAGTGATATGGAGTATAATAAAATCAGATTAGGACAAGAAAGTTCATTCAAATCCACTGCCATTTTAAACAAAATACTGTAGTTGGTGAAGCTACAGTACCAACAACTTTCCAAAGCCAGTGTAAGAGGTGTCACTTTTTTTTGTTTGCAAAAAAGCTTATTTATATGTCTATTTATAGGTCTATTTTTTCTTTCTCTTTTACTATTGTCTTACAAATTTGGACATTTAGTTTCTACGTGCAAGGAAGTTTATGACAGGAACACGTGAGTTAATGTTTGATTTAAGATAACACTTAGATATCATTGTAAAATCAGACAATTAACTTATAGAAGTAAACTGATAAGATATTAAACGACTGTGAATATATGAAAGTCATATATATTTGAACTGCGGATAAAGGCATGCATATGAAAGAGATCTTCGCACTTATGAGCACTACTTGAGCAGTAGTGAAAACAAGGTCTGCTGAGATATTTTTATTAGCTTTTTTTCATTGTGAAAAACTCTTTTTTAGGGGGAGTTTTATTTTTATTCCTTTTCGGTCAACTTTTGGCAGGGGTATAAATATCGAGCAAAATATTTTTTCTTTTTAAATTTGCTTTCAATAGTGTGGTTTGATATATCAAATGAATATGGAAGAAAAAGATTGTAAAAAAAGAAAAAAAGATTGATGTCGCTTGTCAATTGTCCCCGACGTTTCGTCCATTATTGGGAAAATGTTAAAATTCATATATAAACTTTACTGTACTTCGTGTACTAGAGAACGACATCTCTCGAGTTTAATATCAGTGGTATAATTTCAGTTTTATTAATATCTCACGTGCAAGTACATTCGATAACACAATTTTTTTCAACAGATCGACTGTGGATAAACTGGTGACATTGCACATTGATTCAAAACCAATTTCCGTGTTCTGTCATATGAAAATCGATGGATGTGGCAATGGAGGATGGACGCCAGTCATGAAAATCGATGGTGATAAGGTCTTGTTCCTTTTTCATATGTCTATTATTATTTTATAAAACGGCTCGTTTTCTTCCTCGTTCGACACATTCATAAAAATTTACCCCATAGCCAGTACCTTCAACATACAGCTAGAGTTGACTATGCCCATTTCGTTTAATTCGCCTTTTTAAGCTCATTAATTATCTATTAATTTATTTGTTTTTTTAAACGTATTTATTTAAGGACACCTTCCACTTTGGCTCACACTACTGGACTGATAAGAACGAATACAGCCCCTTTGGCGGACAGACTGCGTTTGATAGGCAAGAGACCAAGTTATCGACTTACTGGAACACGACCTTCTCTAAGATCTGTCTCGGTATGAAGATCGACCAACAGCTCAAGTTCATCGTCATCAAAAAAAAGGCCGACTCTCTATACTCGCTGATTGCGGACGAAAGATATCGAAGCACATCACTGGGTCGCGAGAAATGGAAGGCGTTGATTGGTTCGAAGGGTTCCCTACAACTCCGTTGTAACAAGGAAGGCTTTAATGCTGTCTCTAATGAACGTCATTCTAGAGCTAGAATTGGAATACTTGGTAACAATGAAAATGAGTGCAATACTTGTGATTCCAGAATTGGGTTTGGTACTGGGGGTGATCCTGATAACTCTATAACATGTGGAAATGCAGCCTCATGGCTTTATGGGTCGGATAATGGAAAAAGTGATATCAGAACAATGGGGTACATCTTAGTGCAGTAGAAAGGCACTACTCGTGCACGAAACGATAAAATGGTGTTACTGGAACCTTAAACGGCCGGGAATCATTATTAGGGCAATAAAATTGCACATGAATGAATAGGTGGATGGACATATCAGGACGAGTACGTAAATAAAAGTCGAAAAAAAGGAATCAGTCATTACATAAGTACCCTGAATGTCTAACTTTAAGAATCAAGTTATAAGATACTTTGAGATTTAATGATTTTTCCTTTAATCAGCAAAGAGATGTAGATCTTTTAAAATGAGATATTTGATCAAATTTGATATCAAGCTTTAGGTGTAGCATGTCTAAAATTAAAATTCACTTTATTGGAGTTTTGGTTGCCCAAAACTTGAGGTATACTGTGCTTTAAAGTTCTTTGTTATATTGGCGAAGCTTACCAACATGTTAATTATATCGGCGAAGCCTACCGACATGTTAATTCCATGATAATCTAAATTCATAATTAGTCCATAGAATGGAAGGAATATTTAGACATTTTCTAAATGACTCTTGGATTATAAGACAGCAGGTAAGCTTAGAATCGCAAACAGCTTACAGAATATCACTCAAAATACCAGCGCAAAAAGAAATTACACCATCCCAAGAAATTTTTTGTCTTCCTTTGAATCTACTGCGAATTTGAACACACAGGGCATTTCTTTTCAATGCTAGATACTGCAAGTGAGGGAAACAGGAAATCGCGATAAGCTTTAACCAGTTATTTGCCAGTTTGTCACAGTTTTCATTAATATTGACAAGTTACCGCTATTCAATGTCACAGGTCATTTTTGCTTCATGTTGAGTTATCTCTTAAGATAATTAAGGAAACCTTGTTATAATGATTCTTAGAAAATGGGTGGAACCTCTGAAAGAGTCTCAATGGGGCGATGACTTTTACGGCTAAGGGTTAAACTTTTGACCATTTAACGGCTAACAGTTAATATAGTTTCATTGTTGTCAATACAATTTTCTTCAGCGGTTCACATATTTAAAAAACTTTTTAAAGACTACTGGTTAAACAATTTCAATTTACGCCCAACGTCTTAATATGTTGGCCGTTTTACGGCAAACGGTTAACACCATTCAGATTCTACTGTGAAGAACGACTTTAATTAACGACGGCGAAGATTCACATGGATTGCACATCACAATTTCCTTCAAAAAAGTTAGCGATAATTCGTTACCTTTCCAGCAAAAAAACAAAACAAACTAAAACCAAGCCAAAACAAAACAAAAAGACAAAGCAGGAAATATTAAGAAAGGAAAAAAAATAATCTAGTGATGTATTTTTCATGGATCCCGTATTCCAATAGCAGCAACAGCTATAAGAGGCAATAAAATAAAAAATAATCTATGTCAAAACTCAAGAAATTTCCAGTCATTTTCTGATAGAGACCATATATCCATTAACCTATTGTTGTTTTAATGAAAATGTGAGAGTCCTCCATCTGTTTCGTCTCAGCAGGACTGTTATTTCTTTCTACTCCAGACCGAGCATAACCTGTCATACTTTTATGGACAAACCATTCAGATATTCAAAAATAATTGAATAGACTTTGTCACTTCTAGTTTTTTTCAATCTTCTCCAAGGTTGATATTCGTGGCAGGTTTTATGATATGACATTTGAGGGGCATAGAAATTCCCACAAGGAAGCGAAGTCACCAAATTTTCACGTATTTGACGCCACTCTATGGAAAATTGAGAACAATTATTTAGGAAACTCTGACCGCAATATACACTCATTTATTATGCTAAGAAGAGCACCAGATAGTATGCGTCAAATAGATCATTATGTATGCAGGTTAGCTTTTTCATAATCAGAGTCTTGCCTGCGTGAACGAAGGCCGTTTCTGACAAATATAAAATCTACATATGAAACATATAAAATATCATATCGCTTAGAAGAAACTGCAATCGAGGCCTTTCGCGTGATAATAGCTGAAACAATAAACACTAAATAAATCATGATTGACGAAAACTGTTACACCGTAACTATAATTCTACAGGTTAAGGATGACGTATAAATGACAGGGATAATTGATAAGCTTCAACGGTATATTTCGTTAAGCAAGAGTAAATGTATCGAATAAATGCTGAACAATTTGGCTATGGATACCGTTTTTATCTGCGTTCTTTTGATGAAACTTTGCGTCATGAACCTCAGGGCTGTTGAATCACAGGGTTAGTATCGACAAAAATCATATTACGTCTTAACAATGTAGCGCTTTTCCTGTTGTTGGCATATGGACTTAAGTTATGACTCTGGCTTTGTTATTGTGTTTGTTTTGGTTTTTTATTTGTTTAACGAGATGTTTAAGTACAATTCTTTCGAAATAATTTGTTACGATGGCGCCCATCCTATGAAACTTTTGCAGCTATCTGCATCGATCCTGTGGAATTTTTGCAGCTATCTGTCTGCATCGATCCAATATACTTTCGCGGTTTAAGTCCCTAGATCGACTTCGATAGGTAATCTTCCCCCTATTGCCCAATGTTCTGTCATCAATGATTTAGATGCTATTGAAAAAGTGAATAGACAACCTTTTTTCAGTGGGATTAAGTGAAAAGAAGCTGTTTTTGCGACTTTTGGGACTAAAAACGATGAAGTCCCTGTTTTTGACTTATCGTTAAGGTTGCGCAATCGATATTCAGCCCGCGAGTCTTGAAGACGTTTTAAGGATTTCTCCTCTTAATGCCGAAATAAAATCTTGAAATCTTTCGAGAGAACAGTGCAGATCCTTGACGCTGCAGCAGATTAGGCTCACTTTGAGGAAACTGCACAGTTTACCGACTAAAACTATTTTGGAACATCGCTAAGTCTGGAATGGCTGCTTTACAACTGCTCTGAAATTACTTCTACACCATAACGTAGTTCTTCGATATCAATTTTACGGAACTTTACCTTACCCCGAAAGATTCAATTAATTAATTTGGGATTGTGTGCAGTGTCGATCCTAGTATTCCATCGCCTACGTTCCAGCACGTCAAAGATGGCATGAAAAAGCAACCTCCTAGCGCTCAAAAAGCGTATTGCATTGTCTCTCTCGTCGTTAATTATTTCAATGCGGGCGGTAAACATCTATCCGCTTCTAGAGCCGAAATAAACCTTATGTTTAATTAAGAGTGAAAAGAGACGTTTCCAAATTTAACCTGCGCAGTATGAGCAGAACTCTGAAGGATATTGAGCCATGTAATGGGTTGTGAGAGATGATTTCTTTATAAATAGATGTAAGATTCGTATTTTATCGTTGTTAATCTAAAACACATTACTGAAACCCTTTATCTCTTTAGAATACTGTGATGCGGACCAATGCCGTCATTTGGAGTTCGGGCCTGAAAAAGCTTTTAACGGGAAACGTCTTAAAAACCACGTGATCCGCGCCGTCGAAGTTATGGTGAAGGAGTTCTGCGAAACAGTGTGTTATATGGAACCCGACTGTGTCAGTATCAATCTTGAGAAAGGAGTGGATGGTAATGGGAAATACAAATGTGAATTGAATAATGTCACACACGAAGGACACGAAGGCGACTTGATTGAGGAGGAAAACTACTTCTATCACGCGGCTGAGGTAACTGTAATTTAGCCAGAAGGGCTCTAGGTCAACACTTCATCACAAAAAAGAAGGTCCTCTTTATTTTCCCCCGTTTTATCTCGCCGATCACCTCTGTTAACCTTTCATTTTTCTTTTTTAACAATATTTGCTTATGTTTGTGGATTAATAGTCGGTTTACAAGTTTCATTACAATCTCAATTTTTTCCCTTGCAAATCTGTATTGCCTGATCTCTAAGAAATTATATTTTTGATAAAAACAGCCTAAAAGAAGCAGCGTTTTTTTCGTATGGTTCGATTCGTTGTAGAGTGCTTGCGTCAAGAATCCATGCAAGAATAACGCCATTTGTCAAAGCGGTTTTACCAACAAAGGTTACCGCTGCTTGTGTACAACTGGATTCAGGGGCCAAACTTGCGATGAAGGTATGATAACGCTGATTCCTTAAAGTGACTTTGTACACACCTGTACATGTAAACCTAGATATAAGGAAGATTGACAAACTTGCAAATTCTGATATTGACCCCATCCTTATTTGAAGAATTCAAAATTTTAAGTATACAATAAGTGGCAAAAGTCTTGGCACGCTCTACTACTTTTTGTTTTTTTCTATAACTTTCATTTATCCCCCTATTGCAATGTTGTCTTGTGCTGGTGTTGATGTTGTCAAAATGGTGACCACCTGGGAACGTTGTTGTTGCTGTTGTTTTCTTTTTTTCTTCAAGAATTTCAAGATTTTTATTTTATTATTATGTTGAGTTGAGGGCTGTCAACCACCCACCAATGAGAGGCATGCCAGCTGCTTTTGTCTCTTATTATAGAAATGAATAAAACAGCCTGGCCACCTAACGAAATAATAGATATATCATAGCATGTCATAACTTCTGTGATGGATATTTAGGAACGTAGGATTCAACAAAACGCACCATCATCCAACTGATTTTGAGGCAGTTCTGAAGCTATGAACATATTTTCAGATATCAACGAGTGTACTGAGGCTGCACACAACTGCAAGCCCACCCATCAGTGCGAAAATAGCAAGGGAACTTACAATTGCATTTGTCCACCTGGATATTATGGAGAGAATTGCGATACTTCGGGTAATGCAAAACAGAACACAGATAATTTGATAATAGGCTATCATTTTTTTACTAAGATCGGAAGAGAGGAACATTCTAAAGAGCAGTTTGACCTGAAGCGAATGAGTCAGGCTTAATATCCTGACAGTGGGGTGTGGACACGCTTTCCGTGAGGATGTTAGCTCTTTATGCATATTCTATGCATATTCTCTCTACTATCCTCCACACACTTTCTGAGGTGCTGACAAGTAGAACCTCTAAAATAATCAAAGACTTCTTTAGAATGCGATCGTTATCTTTACTCACCTAACCTTAATGTGTGATTCAGAGGTAATTTTGTAATGGGAATTTGGATGCAAATCACTCTTAAAGGTCGAAGGGATGAGCGGTTATCCGACAGCCAATGTGGAACTGAGGCTGTGTTTACACTGGAATCAATATTCAAAGAACAAAAAAAGGGGTTGCATTTAGCTTTATTTAAAATTCTAAGTCATATTAAGTTAATTGTTATTCATTAGAATTATAAAAAGTTCGATTGGTCGAGAACATTCAATGAATATACAAGAGGGTTTGAAGTTGTCGTGATGAATAAATATATACGGTAGACTTATAGTCTACCTAGCTTCCAAGCCATCGTCCGTGGAGTGCATCTCATCGAACTTTTGCATCAGCTCTTGGCTTTAGAGATAATTCAGACCTGGGTTATGAGGATTCATAATATCATGCTCAACCTCATCAATAATCGTTTAATATTGTAGTCATTAGAAACTTTTGACTACGTTTCGATACTTTTGTTCTTGCAGCTTCGAGTTGTAGAGAGGCTTATGAAAAGGACATGTAAGTTAACGAAAAGAAGGGAAGAATAAAGATTATAGTTGACAATACATAGGTAGATAAATAATAAAAATGCCGCTGTACGTAGAGGCTACGAGAAAAAAGTTTGGTAAGGCTCTTTTGAAAAAGCTGAGAGCAAAGAAAGAAGAATGGAAAAGCGAGCTTGTATAATTTCTTGTTGGAGTTTGAAAAGTAGACACTATTAAAAGATCAGATGTTTTCAATCTCGTGTCTCACTTTGTCATGGAAAACTGGCTTGCTTACGGCATCTTAAGCCTGTTAGCCGGTTATGCAATGCAATCTGTTGTAAGTTGCCGAGGAGCGAAACGGTAAAGTACTCGTGCAATATACCAGTTCTTTTGATGGGCCAGTTTAAAGTTTAATTATTCACTACTGTCATATTTGTATTCAAGTTTATGGCGTAAATTTACACTCAGTCCAACATTGCGTTTGTCATTAGAAATCAATCACTGGGACATACAATCATCTGTCATCCGTTTTGTTTTTCACTACGATAAAAAAGTAACAATTTATTGTCAAAGTATTCTTACTGTTGTACGCTATATTCTATACGGTTATCTCTTCAGAACTAAAGAAAGTGGTGAGGTTACGTTGCTCATTGATTTTAAACCAATACTCATTTTCTGCCACATGGAAAATTTTGGGTGTGGAGATGGAGGATGGACGCTGGTCATGAAGATTGATGGAACGAAGGTCACTCTCTCTCACTTGCTCCTTTTATGGTCTCAATGTAAAAGAATAATAATAATAATAATAATAATAATAATAATTATAATAATAATAATAATAATAAACAATCTTTAAGGAGGAAGCGCCCGTCACGTAAATACGTGGTGTTCAGGGTGGTCCTCCGTAAAAAATAAAAGGTATTAAAAGCTTAAATAAGAAATACAAATGTCACAGATCTAAAATATAAAATATACGGCGTATATCTAAAAATTTTTATCCATCATTTAAAATATTTATCCATTAAGAATCTTGTTAAGTTTTCCTTAAAAATTCTGCATGACATTGACCTTCTTAAAAATACTGGGAGGGACATCCAGTCATTTGTAAAACGGATGTAGGACACCCTCTTTCCGAATTCCGTTTTAGGTTTAGGCAGTCTAGGTAAGTAACCATTTCTAGTGTTGTAGCCATGCGAACTTCTCAATGTCGATTTAAAACTTTCAAAATGTTGCGGAATGTCTCTTTTGATTGCATTTTCTACGGTGGTACAACGATGAAATAGACGTCTTCCAGCCAGAGGAAGCCAATTCAGACACTTCAGAGCTTCTGAAGAAGACATCTTTCCTAATTTAATTTTCTTCGCAAATTTGTTCTGAAAACTTTGCAATTTTTCCATTTCTGATTTTAGACCGGGTTGATCTCCCCACACTGTGTCGGCATAGTCTAGGTGTGGCAGCATTAGCCCATTGTAGAAGGCTATGCGAGTTCTATTGTCTAACATATGAAATATGCGATTAAACAAAGAAAGACGATTATCTATTTTCTTCAGCAAATTGCTGATATGTGGCTTCCAGCTCCATTTTGCATTCGTTGTTACTCCCAGATATTTGAATGACTGCACGCGATCGATTTGTGTACCATTTGGTTGCAACTCAAAGTCTTCAAATAAGGATAGCATCCTTTTACTGCCTGCCAGCATAAATTTGGTCTTCTTGACATTTATAGTCAACCTGTTATCAGTGTACTAGTTACTGATTTCAGTGAATTCACGTTCTAGAGCAATTTGAAGTTCTTGACGTGTTGATGCGTCACAAAAGAGACCAGCATCATCTGCATACAAAATCATTCGGGTCTCTTTAACAGCATTTGGCAGGCTATTAATGAACACATTAAATAGCAAGGAACCCAAAATGCTGCCTTGTGGCACGCCAAGTGTGATGGTATGTGGCTCTGATAATTCTCCGTTTACCAAAAAACTTTGCTGTCTATGAGCAAGATATGATCTGAACCATCTCAAAGATCTTTCAGACAGTCCTAAATGCTCGAGCTTGAGTAGTAGCACTTTGTGGTTCAGAGAGTCAAACACCTTGGAGATATCGACAAACAGTAGACCAGTTACTTTACCTTTGTCCACAGATTGAAGAACCCAGTTGTTCAATTGTGTGATAGCTTGTTCAGTGCTATGCCCACGCCTAAAGCCATACTGATGTTGATACAGAAAATCTAGCTGATGTAGATGGGCATTCAACTGGGAATGCACCACTGTTTCTACGACTTTACTCGATACTGGCAACACAGAGATAGGCCGATAGTTCTCAACTTGCAGTTTATCATTAGACTTGTATAAAAGAATAACACGTGCAACTTTCCACAGATCAGGGACAATACCATCGCTAATTGATTTGTTCACAAGATAGGTGATCGACTGAGCAAGCTCCGACTCAGAATCTTTTAGCAGCCTTGCTGGAATTCTGTTAAGTCCAGCTGCCTTATTAACTTTCAAAGAATGCAAAATGCTTTGAACAGTGTTCTGTTCAACCCGTTGAAAGTCCAAGGTGGATTTGATATTACTCTGCTTGTTTGCTTCTTTCACTGCTTCATATTTCTTCCATGCGTCCTTACTCACAGGGCGCAATCGACCAGCAACTTTGCTGCCAATGGCAGCAAAAAACTTGTTGAATTTTGTTGCTACGCTTTTTGGCTCCGATACAAAACGTTTCTCGTCATGTACTTGAAAAGGAGAGCCCCCTGGTTATTAGAACCAATCACGGAGTTTAGCGAGCGCCACATGTCCTTAGGATTCTCAGCTGACTCAATTAGATTTTTTTAGTGCAATGCCTCCGCTGATTTTATCTTTCTGTTCGTAAAGTTTTTCAATCTACGATACTCATTCCACTGTTCCTGATTGCCAGATCTCTTCGAAACTCTTAATGCATAGTCTCTTTCAGTCATCAGCTCTTTAAGATCATTAGTGATCCAAGGTTTAAACGCACGTTTTGTTCTAATTCTCTTTAAATTAGCATGCTGGTTTGCAACATCAAAAAAAAGGTTATTCCAGGCGACTACAGCATCATTGATATCGTCAAAAGACTCTATAACACTCCAGAGAACGCCAGCAATGTCTCTCCGAAAATGGTTTTTATTGTAATGTTTAAAAGATCTTACGTCGCGGATTTCCACGTGAGCTTTGCAAACTCCGGCTTTCTTTACTACGAAAGTAACAGAATGATCACTTGCACCGAATTCCTGGACTCCATGCGAGACAATACGGCGAGTGTTATTAACAAACACAAGATCAATTGCCGTACTTGTGAATTCCGTCACGCGCGTGGGCTCTTTGACGAGTTGACTCAGACCATGGAGACGAGTCGTTTGCATTAATTTTCTGGTATATTTGCATGGTTTAAGGGGAATAACATCTGAGTTGAAATCTCCCATAATGACCAAATCCTTTACCATTTCGTCGTCCAATTTAGCGAGAAACTCCTGTTCCAGGCCTAAGATAAATTTCTCTTGATTCATACTTGGTTGGTTTATACATCACAGCAAATATCGTGTTCTTAGCCTTTTCTGGACATATTTCTACGCATATCATTTCTAAACAGCCAGATTCTAAGTCACTTCTCCGCTTGCTTGGCCATTTGCTCCTTACAAAAACGGTGCAACCACCTCCATTTCGAGTTCTATCTTTTCTGTAGCAAGTATAACCCGAAGGACATATCTTACTATCGAGTAATGTACAATCCAGACGCGATTCTGTCACCGCCAACACATCCAATGCTGCTTTCTCCATTAGTACTTCGGCGTCGGGTAGTGTCCCGGCAAAGTTGCAATATTTACATGAGCAAATTTCATTCCTCTCTTCTTAAGATTTGCATGAAGATCTTTATTTATCCTTACACTGGGCTTTCCTTCTTTTACTCCTGTGTTAGTTGTTTTATGTGACTTGCGGACCGGTGTATCAAAGCCAGGCGATAAACGAGTTATGCATTCCCAAGCCAGAGAAGGTTCGCAAAGTTTATCATATTTCGTTCTCTTCATACTTATACACTTAGCATGAAACCACTTGTCGCATGAATCGCATTGTATCGCCATCTGATTCTTTCGGCATCCTTCGGCAAACAGCACAAGCATCCGTCATCGGCCCTGGATCCTCCTGTATATCTCCTGCTAACAGAACCATGTAAGTTGCGCAGACAGTGATATTTGCCAATTTCAGTGCCGCCATACGTTTCAAAGATGGCGGCACAAGTGCTTCACGTAGGAACCTCCGAGTCGGACCAGAATTTCGCGTTGGATACTGCTTAATATCCAAACCCGTCGACACAAAGATACTGCAGGACGTCTTATCAAAACCACGGTTAGGTTTTAGAGAGTGTAGGACAATTGTGATAAGTAACCAAGCCAAGAATATCAGACAACATCGATAGCCCACCATTATTGCGCGGTGATCAAGGATGATCTTGAAGTTGTGGTGTTCCTTGTGTTGAAAGGGCAATCAAATATTAGTTGCTCATCTTACATAAATCACAGAAAGATGTTTCGCCTCAATATTCAAGCTTTATCCAAAGCTTTATCCCAAGCTTTATCCCAACGTATCTAAGACCTTTGATCTCTTTCCTCCCTTTATTCGAAACATTAAAGAAAGTTTGGTATTTCGTAATGTAATGCAAATTGGTGGTGATAATGTCATGCTTCTCTTTTCAAATGCCTATGACTATTTTACAAAACGTCTCGTTTATTCACTAAGTTCGACACATCCAAAGAGTTTAACCCACCGCCAGTAGCTGCAGCATGCAGTTTGGATCGACTATGTCCATTTCGTTTTATTTGCCTTTTGTTAAGCTTATTTAATTATTCATTAATTCATTTGTTCATTCATCGTATTAATTTCAGAACACCTTTCACTTTGACTCACACTACTGGACTGATAAGAAGGAATACAGCCCTTTTGGCGGACAGACCGCGTTTGACGAGCAGGAGACTAAGTTATCGACTTATTGGAACACGCCCTTTTCTAAGATCTGTCTCGGTATGAAGATCGACCAACAGCCCAGATTTATCGTCATCAACAAGCAGGTCGACTCTTTATACTCGCTGATTGCGGACGGAATATATCGAAACACATCACTGGGTCGTGAGAGATGGAAGGCGTTGTTTGGTTCGAAGGGTTCCCTACAACGCCATTGTGACAGGGAAGGCTTAAATGCTGTCTCTGATAGAGGTGATCATTCTAGAGCTAGAATTGGAATACTTGGTAACAATGAAAATGAGTGCAAAACTTGTGATTCCAGAATTGGGTTTGGTACTGGGGGATATCCTGATAACTCTATAACATGTGGAAATGCAGCCTCATGGTTGTCTGGGTCGGCTGATAAGGTAAATTATATCCCAACAATGGGGTACATCTTAGTGCAGTAAAAAAGCACTACTTGGGAAAGGTACCACGTGTACGAAACGATAAAATGGTGTTGCTAACACCTTAAACGGCCGGTGATCATTATTAGAGCAATAAAATTGCAAATAAATAAAAAGGTGAATCAACAGATCTGGAAGAGTAGGTAAATAAAAGTCGACGAATAATGAATCAGTCATTCAATCAATACCCTGAGTGTCTGAATTTAAGAATCATGTTCTAAGATAATTTGAATATTTAGTAATTTTTCCTATAGTCAACAATGAGATGTAGATATTTTAAAATGAGATATTTGATATCAAAGTTTAAGTGTAGCATTTCTAAGATATAAATTCAATTTATTTAGAGTTTTGATTGCCCAAAAATCGAGGTGTACTGTGGTTCGAAGTTCTTTCTTATATTTGCGAAGCTTAACGACATGTTAATTGTATTGGCGAAGCTTACCGAAAAGTTAATTCCATAATACTCTAAATTCATAATAAGTCCATAGAATGGAAAGAATATTTAGACATTTTCATAACGACTCCTGGTTTATAAGACATTAGGTAAACCTAGAGCCGCAAATAGCCTATAAAATATCACTCAAAATACCAGCGCAAAAACAAATTACAAAGCAAGGCTTATTGTGTAAAAATAATATGTGAGTAAACATAAGACTGACAGGTGTCTGAAATAAAGATATTCCCTCTTTGATGGTGGAAAAATGATTCGAGCGCACTTTGCATCAGCATCTTTCGATTCCAAGTACTGCAAGTGAGGGAAACAGGAAATCGCGATTAGCTTTAACCTGTTATTTGCCAGTTTGTCTTAGTTTCTAACAACATTTATAAGTTACCGTTATTCGATGTCGCAAGTCATTTTTGCTTCAGTTTGAGTTGGTTGATAGTGGACATGTTTATTATGACCTCTTGTAGTATAAATAACTAAATTATAGGTCTGGCCAGCGAAGAATAATAGAGCAATAACAAAAAATATATGGCAAAGAAAAAATTGATTGTATTAACCAACAAGCATGTAATGGCAAAATAATGGCAAAACTAATCATGTGCAATGCATAAAGCGTATTTATAGATTAAGTTCTTAAACCTGTTGGTCGAAGTGCCACGAATATTTGAAATTTTTTCTATTGTTCTTAATGCCTAAGTATATTGAGTATCTACTATGTGACTACTAAGTAGCCTGTACACAGAGTTATCTGGTTTAAGACTGGTAATAAAGCTGGAACACCGCAGCGCCTGAGCGACCTGAGCGGGCACAGTCTTCGGTTGGCCCTCTTCACCATTAAGTCACAGTGTATCGCCTAACTCAGATCTTCAGTTAGGGAAACCCTGGGCAGCGTGAAGGAACTGACATGCTCGGGACAACTGGCGGACTTTGATAACTATTAAGGTGGAGAACGTCAACCGACATCACTGGATTCAGTTGTGTGTTATTATAGCACAGGCAAACTCTTAGACGTCAGACACTATGAAGCTAAGTAATGAGGGGGCATTTCTAGGGATAATCTCAATAGCTGTAAAGTAGACAACATATTTTGCTCGGGGTTACCAGTCATTCAGAAGGTCATCAACCATAATAGCGAATGTATAAAATCGCTGACATTTTTGTCCCCTAGAGAATGCCTTAGTTAAATTTCAATACTGACGATGACGAGGAGGGCAACTTGACAGTTTGTGTCCTGCCTTCCAAGAATGACACAATCCAGCGCTGATAGCAGGGGTGTATATCGAGAGCAGATATTTTCAATCATCACCAGGAGGTCTATGAGATCGAATCCCTTTCCTAAATCAACCGAAAACCAGCGCACCCACGAGTTGCCTCGGTCTAGAGCTTCCAATACATTGTGCAGTAGGTACACCAAAGCATGCTGGGTTGACTTTCCAGAGACATCAAACTGCTTGGGGTTTAGTGCGATGTACTACCTGGCAGGACTGTCGAGAGCGTGAACCTTTCCATTATCTTTGTGATGTGGCAGGGCGATATCGGCCTCAGTTCGTTTTCGATTGACTGTGGAGGCCTCTGTTTAGGTAAAAGACGAAGAATTACCCTCTTCAGGAGACTGGGCACGAATCCCTCTCTCATTAATGTGTCATACAAGTCTGCAATAACGGGGCTGAGCTCGAAAATAAAGGTCTCCAATATGCGGTTTAAGATCCCATCTGGCCCGTGTGCTTTGTTGCACTTTAAAGCACGAATTGCCCTGTACGCTTCGTATGATGAAACTAGTGATTCGGGAGGTATATCAGGGACGTCAATCATTAGGAGTGATTGGCGTAAAGCCCGATGTTAGTGCGGCAAAAAACGCTTTGATCTTAAAGAACCGATCGTGCTAATTGCTTGGCCATTTATGAGTTGTTTGTGCCAGGCCCCTTCCCGTGAAGAGACCCCTGAAAGCCCTTTGATCTCGTTCAACCGTCTTTTTATGTTTCTCATGATTTTGATATTCGATTTGTAGACGGAGCATTTGCAAGCACTAACAGCGCTTGCAACCGCATGGCACTGTCTTAAAGACCTGAGAGTCCTTGTTAAACTTTGCCAGGGCTTTTTACCGCTTCGCGATGAATTCCTTGACCTTATTTGTTATTCACGGTATGTCAGCCGGTAAACTTCTGGCGGCTTTGAAGGGACAGAACATGTCTAACGCGTCAGTGATAGTACGATGGAGAATGTCAAATTTAGCTTGGCAAGAAGGCGCAATGAAAAAATCATCCCATGCGTGCAATGTGATCGAACTTCCAAATCAAACCTCTCTCAACTTTCTGGGTCTGGTGTCCTGCCTTAAGGTGGTTGTTTAAAAGGCTTCTGTGAAGATTGTTATGCCAGCTGTTTCACTACGATAGTGGTCGCTACTACCGATTTTAGGGAGCTGCACAGGGCTTGAAAGTAGGCGAGGCCTATTTGTCAAGTACCAATCGAAAGTGCCAGAGTTTCGTGCTAATACCTTGACCGTCTGGGTCAATCCACATGTCTTTTATCAGCACCCGGAGGTGAGAAATTTGTCGAAGTTGGGTCGAAATCGCCAGTAATTTAAATAAACCTATCTGGATGTTTTGTTGATAAACTGGTCTACGGTCATTTAAATGCGGTTGTAAAGGGTCGCATTGTCATCACTGGTTGCATTGGGAGGAGGGTGGGGGGGTTGATATATCACACCAACAAGAATGAATGACACTGGTCTGAGCAACCGGAAGAGTCTTAACTGAACCCTAGTTGCCACTTAAAAGAATCAAAGAAACCTAGCTATTATGATTCTTTGAAAATAGGTGAAGCCTCTGAAGGGGTCTCAATGGGGAGATGACTTTTACAGCTAAGGGTTAAACGTCTTACGGGTAACAACTAATATCATTGCATTGTTGTCACCAGAATTTTCTTCAACGATTAACATTTTTGACGACTATCGGTTAAACAATTTTTATGCCGAACCGGTAATTTTTTTTGCTGTTTTTCGGCGAACGGTTAACCCTATCGAGATCCTCTTATGAAGAACGACTTTGGTTAACGACGGCGGATATTGACGTGGATTGCACATCAAAAATTAAACAAAAAGGGTAATGATAACTCGTTTACCTTCCAGAGAAAAAGACAAAAGCAAAAAAAAACAAGAAACGAACCAAACCAAACAAAACCAAAGCAAAACAAAAGGACAAAGCAAGAAAAATTAGGAAAGGAGAAAAATGACTAAGTGGTGTATTTTTCATGGAACCTTTTTTTCCAATATCAGCATCAGCCGAATAAAAGAGAAAATAATCTATGTCAAAACTCAAAATTTCGTTTTCCGCTGGAGAACATATAGATATTAACCTATTGTTTAGATGAAGATATGGGAATCTCCGACTGTTTTGTCTCAGTAGGACTGCTATTTCTTCCTACTCTAGACCGAGCATAACCTGCCACACTCATATAAATAAACAATTTAGGTATTCAAAAGTTAATTAAATAAATTCAGTTAGCTCACGCTCTATTTAATCTTCTGCAAGGGTGATAATCGTAGCAGATATTGTGATATGACACTTGAGGGGCATAGAAATGCCTACAAGGAAGCGAAATCACCAAATTTTCGAAAGGAAAACAAAACACTCTGTTTTCAACGCCTCTCTATGGAGAAAGTTAGAGCAATTATGTAGGAAGCGCTGACCAGAAGAACACCAAATAGTGCACGTCAATTAGATCATTGTGTATGCAGTTCAGGTGTTTCGTAGTAGAAGTTTTGTCTGCTTTTAACGAAAGCCGTTTCCGACCAGTTTCTCCACTATTAAACAGTGCATAAATAAAATAGTCATGTCGCCTAGAAGTAACTTCAATCGAAGCCTTTTGCGTGACTTATCAATGATAGCAATCGTGATGCTAAGAGCTAAAATAATAGGGCAGAAGTGGGGAACTATTTCAGGTGGAAGCACCAGATATGGTACCGTTGCATATGTCCTTGGGCAATATCACTGGTTCTCGGAGACGTATGGAAGCTTAAGATGGGAATGTGACGACTTCTTATCTGGTAAAGAATCTTTTGGGTTGTAGTGACTTCTGGAGGGTGTTTGTTCGTTAAGGCCAAAAAAAAAAAAAGATAAACCTAAAAGCTTTCTCTGTCCTAAAGGGAATCGAGAGCTGACCTACATGTCGATATCATTCAGTAAGAATTATGGCGTATTTTTTTTTGTCTTTTTTAAAGTTTTCACCTTATGTTATCGAGGTAAACCACCGGTTTGGAACACGCCGCTGTTGAAATAATAAAAATGACCTTTTGGATAAAAACGTCTGGTGAAAAAAAAATTAATAAAAAAATTGCCGAAGCAGATATCCAATACTCTGAGATGGCAATCAAAATAGAAATGTGGCACGTGCACACGTGTATTATTAGAAATTAGCTTAGAGTTGCTCATCTTGACCTTCTTATAACTACGTTAGTGATAATTTCATGGAATAATAACTTCTATGTCGCTTCTTCTTTTGATGTCCCATTAAGTTTTTGCTGCCGATTCATTGTAGAGATTTCTCAGAAAAACACAAT